CATATCTTTCACCTCTCAACACATGTCCCAAGTATTGTAATTTTCTCTCTTTAATTATGCTGAGTAATTCTTTTTATTTACTTATGCGTCGAAGTACCTCACCATGGTAACTTTTTGTATCCATAGAATTTTTAGCATCTGTTTGTAGTGATATACATTTCAAAGGTATCTATTTTTTTTCTGTTTTAAAGTGCATTGTCGAACTTTCACAGCCAGACAGCAAAACAGAGAAAACGTGACATCTTATTATTCGAATTCTGAGAAGAAGAAAGACATGAACAATCTAGAAGTTGCATTCCACAACATATCTCATTTTTAAGCAAAAATCCTTGGTAAACTAGTTTCTTGTACTGACAAGAGTAAACGGAAACAAAATACAAGACAGTTAAGATTTGATTTCACTATAGTGCCTCTGTCTATTTCGCTTATTCGCTTGGAAGGGATACAAGAGACGATCGTGCGCGTGCAGCGGTAAAATCTTGCAACTTTGTTAGCATAATTCATTAGTAGTTATTGAAGAAAATGGGATTTCGCAAACGCTGTGTTACATATTGTAAAAACACAACAAAAAATAATAAATTCAAGTTCTATCGGTTTCCAACTTTTAAACAAAAATTAATGCAACGAGAAAAGTGAATTTATATCATACTAAAGCAGAAGTAAGTAACATAACCCAAATTCTGCATTCTTACGCCCGATTTCATAATAAGTTTGATGTGAACATCACCCAAAAGTTAACAGGAAAAGAATTAATTATTTAAAACCAATGTAATGTATGTTTCTTTAAAAGGTTTGGATTGACAAAAGATACATTTATGCAATTTAGTCTAAAATGAACATTATTTAAAGTGTACTTTAGGTTGTCATTATAAAATCGGACGTTGTCTCTTCAAAATATTAATATGATATGCAATTATTAACTGTATTTTACAGTGGAAGTGGAGTTTTTTGGAAAGATATTTTATGATTTATTTACTGGAATTCAGTTTTTATTATTGCATCCATATTAATAGTAATACTGCAATTAATTAATTTTATTTACTACATACAATGTTGACCTTTTTATAACCTCAAAACACAAACTCATAACATAAGTCACTTGATTTGCAGCTAATATAAGACTAAACTATTAATAACGCTAACATCTTCGCTGCTTTATGCCACCAGGTGTCGCTCTTCGGAACTTGCACAATGCACATAGCGAATACGTTTTTCATCCTACCAGGATTCATCAGAGCTACCGGTACAGAAGCTCTAAGAGCGTAATCAAATATTTTCCGGCAAAAGAGGCAATAATAAAATGGTTCCAATATGGACGCTATAAGCGACGTCTGAAAATGATTCACTAAAGTAGAAATGCGAAAATTTCTTGACTGACGAAACCAAAATTCAGATTTTTGCTTTACTCTCTGCCTTTTACAAATTGCAAGGCAAAACAGACAATGAAAAAATTGCACACCCAAATGTTTATCAAAAACAGAACATCTATCTTATTTGACATTGTAACAGTGCCATCTGCTCTAGAGAAATAATTTTAAAAGTAACACATATTTTCAAAATATATCTCTTTAATAAATGTAAATAACTTTTAAATAACATTTAATTTTCAACAAACTGTTTACATGCCTACTTGTTAATAGGTATCTATTTCAAACAAGACTATCAAAGGATTTTTAAACTAGAGAGTTAAAGGAAGCATTAAGGAAATTAAAAAATAGAAAATTCCCCAGGACAGGTCAGAATACCAAACGGGTATTCCCACGGGACAGGCCAGAATACCGAACGAGTACCAAACTAAAGGACTTCCCAACTCTTATAGTACGGAGGACCAGATCTGACCAAACAACTATTAAAACTAATCCAAAAAATAATAGAACAAACCAGATTTCTTCAAAAAGAAAATCAAGCATCCTAATACCTCTAGGAATAATCAAAACGATCGAAAAATTCTACCAAAACAACACAATAAAAGTAAAAGTAGAAGAAGAACTAACCGACCCTATTGAAGCTGGCAATGGGATAAGACAGGGAGATTCCCTAAGTCCTCTATTGTTCAATCTGATTATGGATGAAATAATAAAAAAAGTAAGAACTAAAAAGGATACCAAATGGGAGAAAAACAACTTAAAATAATCTGCTATGCAGACGACACCAATTTAATATAACCGCCAGAAAATTTAACATGTTAATTTCCCCAAAAGAAGACAAAATGCATGGTAACAACAGCAAACTTATTAAGATGTTAATTGGAGCTGGAAGATCAGATAATAAAACAAGTGATGTAGTTTAAATATCTAGGTATCACATTATCTACCTACGGTACGCTCGAAATCGTAGTGGAAGGTCATGTGAACAGAGCACACAGAGCCACAGGCTGAGTAAATGTGGATAAATAAAAATATCGGGAAAGAAACGAAAGGCAGAATTTTACAAAACAATCATCAGACCAATAATGACATACGCGTCAGAAACAAGACCTGACACAGAGAGGACAAAAAGGATATTAGAAAGAGCAGAGATGAAAAATTGATGGTAAGACACCATGGGACAAAACTAGAAGTACAAATATACGACATAGATGCAAGGTGGAGAACATCAAAACTGGGTAAGAAGTAGAAAAGTAAATGGAACTATCATACAAGCCGAATGAGCATTTTTAAACTATATTTTCTTAAACATTTGATAATAATCCTTGGTATCGGCATGTAAGTATTTTTTATTTAAATAACTTAAATTCATTTTTAATAAATTATAGTATTTGAATCATATGCTGGTCACTGGTGGTAGATAAACTGATTGTAAGTCTTTTTTTTGGTATACAAATATTTAATAATAAATAGTAATTTTATTAAAATCCACAACGGAACTACTAAAGATCATCATCATTAAAATATTTTTAAACGTTTTTAGATAAAATCGACAATATTTGTTTAAAATTCCACCACGCTTTAAAACCGATTGAGTTGATTGTTGATTACTTAATGAGTTACAAACAGTATGTTTTATTCTATCGCCTTGATCATCTTCTGCTTATTTGAAGTGTCTAGGGTACATGTAAGTATATGTACTATATTTAGTTAATTAACTCCATTTAACTGTACATATATCCTTTTTATTTTTTCTGCTATCAAGCCCCTACCAGCGCTGTGACCGAAATTGTTAGAATGGGTCTTATGTCTCAAGCTAACTCAAACTTTTTAATTCTTATAGCTTTACTAATATGATTTTACCTTGAGTTCTATTTCTTTTTCACCTCCTGACTATTCATTTGCAAAATTTTATTGAAAGTAATTTATCTGCCATTCTTCTCATAATGTCATATTAGATGTTTTTGCTACTGACTTGTGATGTATTTTTTTATGCAGTCGCTATTATTTTTAGATACATCATTTTGTACCCTTCAGCACGTTTTCATCAATGTTTAAGTTTCTACACAGACCACAACGAGCTATATGTATACCATCTATCATATACCCTGTGCAACTCCTGCTACATCGGTCAGACCAGCCGCTCTCTACAAGGTCGAGTAACATCCAATAAAAGCGACATTAAGATGTCTAAACCCTCTTGTGCCCTTGAACAACATGCCAACTCAATTAACGACTGTATCGATTTCACTAATGTCAAAATACTTTGTAAACAACAAAATTATCACAATCACAAGCGATCCCTCCTTGAAATGTGCAAAATTCTAAAACATCCAACTTCCCTAAATAAAAGAATCTGTATCAATAACTTGAGCCAGATATATCACTCTACTATAATACATAACAAATAAGATGCATCATATCTCTTTTTAAATCAATAGTCCAAATTGTTCCATTCTCCATCGAACAACATTTTTTTCGCGAACCCAAAAAAAAATTCGATGTCAAATACCCTTTGACAATCAAGGACTCACTGGACTCTGAGAATCACATGTTCGAAGGCCTTCACAGTATAACCTTGACGCTCTCGTCACCAAACAGCAAATAGCTGAATGCCATAAGTTAGTGTCGTTTCATTTATCAGAAGCTCAAACAACACCCTAATGAACAACACAGCCTATGAAGCCATCGGTGAAAATAACCTGACAATTAAATTAGCGAACAGTAGTGCTCTAATTTAGTTTTTTTTACGTCGAGTTTATTGTGTTTTTAATGTTAAGTTATCTTATAGTTTTCATAACACCACAAAAACCTACAAATTATTTTGTAAGTAATAATCTGTTTTACAGATATAAAATGTTCATAAATACGGTTATGGATTCGTCGGTTTGTCTGTCCTATGTATATACGTGGGTAATTAAAACAACGTACCTCGTAGACACCATGGTCTTCATTGTGGATTTGGTCTTTTACGGATCTGACGAGATTGGAAAACTTGGAGTGAGTAGTGAAGACGGTTTTGATGTTTAGAGGGTTAAGAGTTCTACTGGTTTTGTCAGTGACACCTTTAATAAAAGGTAGACAGTTTTTGGGTTAATCAGGCGGCAAGATTTCTTTTTGGATGGAATGGGTTAAGATGTTTTGGAATGCTCCTATTGATTTGGGTTTTGTGGTAGCTGTTTTGTAAGAGTATTTGCCTTTGGCGTAAAATTGATGTCGGTTGATCTGTGACTGTTGTCACTAGAACGGAAAACAAGAGTGTTGATAATGGAATTGAATTGGGTGGGGTGATGATGTGAGTGGGCATTGAGATAACATATGTATGCGTAGGTTTCAGGTATACCAAAATAAAAAACTGTAAGGTGTGTGTTTCTTAATAAGAACATCAGTAGTAAAGACCCTTCATTGGAATGCCATTGTCAAGTCAGATAGTCACGCTGCCTTCTAGTGTTTGAACTAAACTGACTCTTCCAGTCAAAGCGGTTACTTATATATTTGATCTTGATGTGCTTTCTCGAACGCTTCTGGACAATGCTTCTTGTGATTGGCCCTGCGCGACTGTATGTAGCAAATTAAAAATAAATAAAAATATTTGTAAAAAACTTAAAATAAAATACTATGTATGTGTTTTAGGCTACTGTACTATCTCCAGAGGTCCAAGCGAAAATATTAAGTATTGGTAAAAAATGTGTAGAAGAAACAGGAGTAGATGTCAGCAAACTATTGGAACTGCAAACCGGCAATTTTGTCGAAGATCAAAAAGTAAAAGAGCATCTCCTCTGTATGTCTAAGAAAAGCGGCGCTCAAAAGGAAAATGGCGATTTTGATGAGGATTTAATTAGAAAAACTTTAATTGATATTTCCAAAGATCCAGCAAAGACAGATGAAATAATAAAGAAGTGCATGATCAAAAAACCATTGCCTGAAGACTCTACATTTGAGAGCTGTAAGTGTCTGTATGGCGAAGTGCCCAAAGAAGAGATAATGGCTTTAAAAGAGTAACTCTATGCTACTAAGATATAAATAAAAAAGATTATTTTAAAAAGTTAAGTTGTTTTGTTTTTTAATTTGAAGCTTCTATTTTAATGATTTTCTATATATAGGTTGTAGATAGTAGATTTTAAAAACGTGTCTTAAGTCCACGATTAATTAATTAATAAAGTTATAGATGCCTCAATTAAGATACACCTACATGTTTATGATGAGTTAGTGATCTAAGAGGTAAAACGGCGAAAGAACGAGATGTGTCACTTGTTTTAAAATTTATTTGGTTTAGATTTTGAGTTATCGAATTCTGATTATTTCGCCACAAATAACTAGATCTAGTGAGTTATCTCAGTATTGTCCTCAAAAATAGTCTTTCTAAAAAATTATGGTAACCTAAAATTGGCTAATTTTATTACAAGTGCTTACTCTAATATTTTCGGGAACTCTAATAACATTAATAGGAATAGGAGACTATCTGGGACACAAAATAAAAGGTCTTCTATTAAATTATAGTAAACACATATGATAAATAAAATCGATGGGCGCAGAAACTACAAAAGAAAATCAGAGCGCAAGCCTCTAACAGAAGTTATTTTGTGCAAAGCTCGTGCAAACTTGTTAATAATGGCGTTTCTATACGTTAGACAGCAAAAGCTGTGGGATTTCATGAAACGACACCACGACAAAGGTTGAAAAAAAGGAATAGTGTCCAGTCTTTAGACAGATTTAAAGCTCTAACCAAAATTCAAGAAAACGAAATAGTTCAGCTTTCTAAAAAAGTCGATTTTATGGAATGACGCTGAAGTCATTGCTTTTTTTAATATACACTTATGGTGCAAGAAATAGCATTGAGCATCCATTTTCACCTGTAAGTCAGTTGGCTGGTCAGGACTTTACTAGATCTTTCATGAAAAGGAACCGACTATCTTTCCGAACGAGTTCCATGAAAAACAAGTATTGCTGGAATTATGGACTTCAATAGAGTGCAACTAGCTCAGTATTTTTAAATTTTAAAGAACACTATCTCCCGTATCTATAACGTCGATAAAACGGGCATTCAGACAGTCCCAAACCATCTGCCCAAACATGTTGCCCCAGTTGGAAAGAGAGATATAGCAAAAGATGTAGCTGCCGAACCGAGTCTTCAGCTAATAACGTCACAAACGTTTTGTTGCAAATTCCACCTCTTCCTTAGGGAAATGCAAGAAAGTCCAGAAAAAGAAAGGCCAGTAGTTAGCAAGATGTTAACGAGTCCATACCTCCAGAGTCTTCGCGAACAACAGAATATTAGAAAAGCGAGAGAGGTAAGAGGGAATAAGCAAAGCTCAGTAAAGAAAAATGTGTTTGATGATACCTTAGAATGTGGAGATAAAGACACTCAAAAAGATTGTCGAGATAAGAAAACCGGAAAATTAAGAAAAAGTGAACGAAAAGCTGCAGTTGAAATCTATGAAAAAAAATCAGATTGTGAAAAGCCTTTTAATGAGGATGACGACGATGATTGCGCATGCCTCTATTGCAATTAGTTATATAGCCTATCCAAATCTCAAGAAGGCTGGTTACGTTGCCAAAAGTGTCAAATGTGTACTCATGCAGAGTGTACAGGACTATCAATCAAGGCTAAGAACTTTTATTTGTGAATTATGTTTTGATATTTGACCACTTTATGTATAAATCCACGTATATGCCGTCTTGCCTTCTAGGGTAGGGCAAGACGACATTTTGACTCTTTTTTTGTTTTACATTTACAGTTTTAACATGGAGTTCTGTTTTTGTTTTTCATTTAATACATATTAAAAAGAATGTTCTGTTTGTATTATGGAGCTTTTTAATTTATGATACCTTTTACGTTTTTCAAAATAAATCGATTTTACCTTCGAGTATGTCGACTTACCCACCCTTCCCCTAATGCAATTAAAAGATAATAGCAAAATAATATTCTAAAAAAAAGTAATAAAGCGAGACTTACTTGAACATGGATGAATAGTGCACTACACACAGCAAATATACTGAATAGAAAACTGAAATTCATGATAGATTGGATAAAAAATGTTCAAATACTTATCCGTATGTGCATCTAAGATACAAATAAATAGGGCGTCGATTTATTGTTTGTAATTTTATGTACTTACCCATTGTTTCCGATTTAATAACCTTCGTGGTTATTAATTTACGATTATTTTGTTATAATTATGAAATTGATTATTATTATGTAATATATTTTTATCGCCAACGTCACATTGATATCACGGTTTTCTCACCGGTCATGCTCTTTTTTCCCTTGTTCTTAGAGTGATATTTCCGTTACGGTAATTGGAGCTGTTGCGTTTGTTTATTACTAATAATTATTAGAACTATTAATTTGCAATTACAGGTCTCCTAACCAGCGTAAACAATCGTTTTTATGTTGGCATCAATTGACTAACATGACCTAAGAAGAAATATCTTTAGTTATACGTTCACTTTTATATATTAAAAGTGGCTGTTTAACCTTATCAGGCTGACCAATATATCTGCCTCCTTACTAACCAGTATCTACAAGACCAGTATATAATACACCAGACAAAAGTTTAAAAACGAAACTGGCAGGTAGATGACCGACCACGCAGAGGCAAACAAACAATAGTTTAACCCAGTCTTCTTCTCCTTACGGTGCCCATCCGTTCCGGATATTGGCGATCAGCATAGCTACCCTAGCTTTACTTGCAGTTATTTAGGATATTCCGGTTATATAACTATTGAACCACTTCCTTAGGTTTTAAAGCCAAAATATTCTTCTTGTCCCTGGTCCCCTCTTTCTAAATAGCTTGCCCTGAAGAATGAGTTACAATAAGCCATATCTATGTTCATTTCTCATGGCCAAAATATTCTTATTTGCGCTCTTTGATTGTTTTAGTAATTTCGCATTCCTTGCCTATTCTACCCAGTCTGAGAGACTTACAAACCCCTTAAGTATGACATAAGTATGAGGAGGAATGACTCGTGTAATCAGGAATCACTCCATCCCTCTCTAATGCTCCAGACCATCCACTCTCTCCTCGATAGCACTCTGATGAGCTACAAAGGCTCTTTTATCAGTAAAGTGCTTATCATGTGGTAGTCCTGGGTACAAAGCCTCTTACATGAAATCCTACCCCGAACAATGAACGCCATGGTAAGGTGCTCTACAATGGAAACTATGAAGGTACCGAAATAAAGCAAGAAATAAAAGGTGTTCATTCCAATACCCAAAAAATTAAACGCAATGAAGTGTGAAGAGCACAGGACAATTAGCTTGATGAACCATATTCTAATTTAAGTGTTTTTACGAGTGATACGCGAACGTATCTATAAAAAGCTAGATGATAGAATAGCTGAAAACCAATTAAGATTCAGAAAAGGCCTTGGCACCAGAGAAGCATTATGATGTCAGATGTTAATTGCGAAGTATTCATATGTCTAGTCGACTTCGAAAAAGCTTTCGACAAAGTACAACACCAAAGAATGGCAAATATACTGCAGAACACAGAATTAGATGACGAAGACGTAAGAATCATTGCCAATCTATACCGATATCAGAAAGCTATAGTAGGAATAGACCAACAAAAATCTAAAGAAATACCTATAAATCGTGGAGTAAGACAAGGATGTGTGCTTTCCCCCTTACTTTTAATATGTATTCAGAAGAATTGTTTAAAGAGGCATTAGAAGACGTAAATGAATAATACTCCTTGCGGACAGCAGAGAAAGACTACAGATCTTGGTTGATCGCATTATCCAATATTGCGAAAGGTATGGAATGGCACTAAATACAAATAAAACAAAAATCATGGTGGTAAGCAAGAACAAGATTGAGGAAGACAGTGTTTATGCTAAAGAAAAACTTTTAGGTAGGGTGCACAGATATCAGTAATCAGTAAACGGCGTACTGAGATAGCTAGAAGTGCTTTTAAGCTTTTAAGATAAAAGCAATATTATGCAATGAAAAACTCAACATTCAAATTAGAACTAGAGTATTGAGATGCTACGTGTTCTCTGTTCTGTTGTATAGAGTTGAGGCCTGGACAATTCCAGAGGCGACAGCGAAAAGACTCATTAACTTTTAAATGTGGTGTTATCGAAGAATGTGGAAAATATCTTGGACACAACATATAACAAATGCAGAAACGCTACGACGAATGAGAAATGATAAAGAAATACTCAATACTAAAAAACGAGAAATACGAATTGATGCGGCTGGTCACACAAGGGAAGATGGCAGGCAAAAGAGGACCGGCGAGAAGACTCACGTCCTAGTTGAAGAATCTGAGACAATGCAGTGAAAAAACGTCAATAGAAGTTTTCAGAACGGCTGCAGATAGAGTCAAATGGGCCATGATGATGCCAACGTCCTTAGGGATGAGGCACGTTAAGAAGACGACCACGATATAGATATGTACGCTTCACTTTGTCTGCGAGGTTTTTAACAATTTGGTAGTTCTTACCACCGTTTCTTACCGTAAATCTTGCAACTTTTACATACTTTACCAACTTTATCTAGATAAAGTGGCTGCAGAATTTTCTTCCACTATTTACTACAGCTCAATACTTTTTCACATCAGAAAATATTAAAAAGGGAAACCGTGAGTGTAAACGAATAGGGGAAACTCAAGATCTATTTAGAGCGGTGGGGAATACTATAAGTGTGATAAAAGCATGAGAATAAGAAAGGATAGAAGGAGTAAAGGGCTCTGATTATAGGCCAATAGCTCTATTGGTTAAGCAGTCAAAGATTCCTTCGGTTCTATAACGTTAAAAGAAGAAAATAATACCTTTTATTTTAATTTTTTTGGTAAATACATTGACTTTTTTGCCTTAACAAATAATTCAAATTGTTTTGCTACTAAATCTAGTACTGATGACTGCACATTCTAAAGAATTTTTACTGTAACAACAAATAAAAATAGGCACAATATAAATAAAAAAGAAGTGAAGAATATAAGTTCAAAGAAGCAGAAATGTTTGATAATAAAAACTTTATTTTCAACAAAATTCTTTATCAGCTAATGTTAACATTTAAACCTTATACGCTCGTCCATGATACAAATATGCCTCAGTAAGGCATTTAATTTTCGGCGTAATATTTTCTTTGGTTAATTTTTCATCAGTAACACATTTATCGATATTATCAGCTAGTTCTGTGTTATACTTTTCAACGTCTTTAAGTTCTTGTATAACATCTTTATTGATATAGTTGTCATCGGTTAATAATCCAACCTTTTTTGAATAACATAATTTTATTGCATCTGCTATATCTTGTGGTATTGAAAGAGGATCTTTTCCTTCAACTCCATATTGCTTGTTGCATTCTGCATGGAATTTTTGAAAGTCGTCGTTTGTCAACCTTTTGGGGTCAGTTTGACCAGCCTGAAAACACAAAAAAAGTAATGCGAATTAAATATTTTTAAGATTTATCTATACTATAAAAATGAATCGAACAATGTGTTGGCAAGCACAAAACTCAACAACACATGGACCAATCTTAACAATTTTTTTAATGTTTCTTAAAGTCTAGGAAAAATTTGAATAATTGCCGGAAACCCCTAAAACAGCCCCTTTCTTTTTCCCATACAAATATTTTCTAACTAAATGTAGAGTCAATTTGAACTTTATTGCTATTCAATAAAGTTTATATTAAATTACAAGTGAATTACAAGTTTGTATTAAATTACATATCTTCTAAATAACCGACACTTTCGAGCGATTCGTTACGCCTTTTTTTTAACAAAGAAATAACTTCGCCAAATGCTCCTCTCTTCTTTTTATCTTGTTTTGGTACATAAAAATCTCTCCTAATAACAAAGGAAAAAGGTCTCTATTGTGAAATCTTCGAGCTGCCTTCTTAGAAAAACAGAAGAGTTGTTTTTCGTAGAAAGTTACTTTCCATTGTAAAAGCTACGAAAATGAACCTCAGTAGCCCAGCAATTTAATGTCAATTTCGCATGGCATCCTTCAGCCAATATCCCCTCCCAATTTTCAACCTTCGCTTGTCTAAGCCCTTCTAAGTTCACAATCCGATGTTCATTTCCAAGTTGGTTCCTGTGGCAAGCGGTCTTATCTTCGACAATCGGCGGTAAGTGGATTTTCAATTCACCCTTATTTCTCTTTACACAGTGTGTCTTATATTAATTATTTTCTCTTTTGTCAAACAGACATCTTCCAATTGAAGTCACTTCTGTTTGCCGTTCGGATCTTACACCATTCAGATTTTACCGTTCAGATTTTACCGTTCATATTCAACTCTACACTGTTCTTCTACTACTCTTATCTCACCGTATTGTACTACCTCGATCTAACTGCCTCTTTTCGTCGGCCTAAGGTAATCTAAGGGATTACGTTAAGAAGACCGCAATTCTTTGTGGGTGTCATCCCAACTACCTGTTATACTAACCGAAGTCAAGTGCCTTATTGAAGGCGTAATACCATTATTTTGGATACACCTGTTGTGTGAGTACCTATAATTTCTTATTGACTAAACTGTGATAACGAAATCTTTAGAAGTTGATTTATGACTCCAGTTCAGTGTACCTTATTATTTATGGAGGTTTAGTTTGACTGAGTATTTTATAAAAATACAGGATAATATATACGTATAAATAACGGATAATTTATTTTATATGTAGGTTATCTTCCTAATAAATTTTATTCTTAGATTTGAAGTGATCACGATCAAAAACCTAGTAACTTCATATTCAGGTATCCTCAAGGCGTAAAATTCACTTGCTTGCCAAATGGTAACGTAGATATAATTATAATGTTCCTTGCCTTTTTCTACTTCTTAAGGATACTAAATTATTTATAACTATTTTTCAAAGAGATATTTTTTGCTTGTAATTAATAATAAGTTGCGCAATAATCATGCCATTTAACTATCCAATAAAATTTGGTATAGTACATTTACTTTAACAACTATACCTAAATATAATTTTGTTAAAAATCTATTTGCTTTTTATTTCTTTTATATTTTTGTATATAATTTGAATTTATATTTTTGTGTTTCTCTTCCAGGCATTTTTTATTGAATTATATTATTATTTGTTTGATCGTATATTTTGTGTATATGTGTCGAAATATTAGGAGTGTACCGCATAATTCCGATACCTTTTCTCTCACGTTTACTTTATTCTCGCGTGAGTTCTCTAGCTGTACCTTACCTTTCTCGTCATCCTTTTCTATGTGCTTTAAGGTTTCCCTGTTCCTCTAAAAATAGGTGGTGCCCAAATAACTTTTCTTCTCTTATCTCTTATCTTCTCTTCTAACTTCTTGTCTTTGTGTTGTAAGTACTTCTTTAATTGATCCGTGATATTTGAGCTGTAACAAGAACCCCGACCAAGATACCTCTACCAGACTGAAGCCCGAGCCTAGTACCATTCTTTGTGTAACCCCCAATCAATCATCTAGAGGGTACACAAGCACTCACTAATGTCTAAACAATGTAGGTGTGTTTCTAACGTCGAAGAGTCAATTTTTACTTTATTGTCGCTGCACAAAGTTCAAATTTTTTTCAAATGTATGTATGTGTGCGTTCGAATATGTGCGTGTTCGCGTTGGAGAATTTAATGCGTTCACACAAAAGTGGTAATATCGTGAACCCGACCAAAAAATGTAAGATCTATAGATTTGATTGACCTCACAATAGTCTTTCTTTTCTTTTAGTTTCGGAACGCGACGTAAAAAGCATCCTGCAAGTGCCGAAATCCTCCTCAATCCTTTAGCCCTTGTCAGGGCGTAGTGACACCCTAAATATTATTAGTCTGCTGTCTCCATTGACTGCGATCTTGTGCCATATGGACGGCTTCATGTAGGGATTTTCCCACCAAACTCTTCATTTGGTCCACCCATCGTATTGGAGATCTTCCTCTTGGTCTTCGGCCTTCTACCTTACCTTCTACTACCAATAGTTCCATGGTGCCCGTTCTTCTAGCTATGTGGCCGAAGTAAGTTAGGTATGCTTGGTTTACTTTTTTAGTAGCCTGTCTTTTATATGAAGCTTTTTCCAGAATTGACAGGTTGGTTCTATGTTCTGTCCAGGACACACGTAGAATTCTTCTATATACCCACATTTCGATGGCTTCGACCTTACTCCTATCGATTTTTTTGAGAGTCCATGTTTCAGCTGCATATGTAGCAATGGGAAAAATAAGGGCATTGACCAACCTAAGCTTAGTATTCCTTGTTATTGTTCGGTCTTTCCATATTTTAATTAATTTAGCAGTTGCGGTTCGGGCCATTCCTAGTCTACGTTTGATTTCTGTGGAACAATCACCATTGTTGGTTATCAGAGAGCCTAAGTATACAAATCTGTCGACTACTTCGAAAATCCCTATTTTGGCGTATATGCGGTAGATTATTATTTGCTCTGTCTACAATCATTATTTTTGTTTTTCTGGTGTTGATTTGAAGTCCGAATTCTTCACTTCGAATTCGGCTTAGCCGTTCGATGATGGTAATCATTTCGACTTCATTCGCTGCTAGTATAAGTGTGTCATCTGCGTATCGCAGGTTACTGATACTTCTGCCTCCTATAGTGATTCCTCCATCCCATTCATCTAGTACTTTTCTCATTATATATTCAGAATGTTGTACAATAATGGTGATAGTATGCAACCTTGTCTAGTTCATTTCTCTGTTTTGAATGCATTTGAATATATTCCATGTACTTTAACTTTGGCTGAGTTTTTATTATACAGATTTCTTATTAGTTAACTAGGTGGTTAGGTACTCCCATATTTTCCATTATACTCCAGAGAGGATCCCATTTTACTGAATCAAAAGCCTTTGTGTAATCTAAAAAACAGAGCAACATTGGTATGTTTATGTTCTCTCGCTTTTTTCTTTTTTTTTTTCGCTTTTTGTGCCGAAATATCAATATCCTTATTAAAGTATATTGAATCATTAGATCCAGATATACAACATCTCGTGCTCTACACAGATTCTTGAGGAGGGCAAAATCGAAATCGCAATGTACTGAAGTATGTTTTACGCCGTGAATACCTCTAATTTAGAATTGATTGATATTAAGTTTATGGAAAGTGGCCATAGCTACCTTGAGGTCAACAACATTCACTACACTATTGAACGATCCCGATATTCAAAAATATTTACACCACCAATGAATATAAATTATTAATCGAACTTAGCAGGAAACGACCATTTCCATACAATGTCCAGCAGATAGCGTACTACGACATTTATGACATAGAAGACTTGTCAAACAAGTGCAAAATAGAAAAAAAAATGATGGCAAAATATTAAACTGGCTAAAGGTTAAAATGGTTCAGATTTGAAAAAAATGTTGACAAAGTTGGCTTCAAATACTATGACATGCGTGGGGAATTTAATTATATAAAAATTAACCATGAATAAATCCAATGGAAAATATTTCTTTAAAACGGAAATATCTCAAGCGCTTATACATTTCGATTGCAAAAAAGGGACTTGTTGAGCCTTCTGAAGCATGGCGTGATACCCCGAGAATACTCACTTTTTTATAACAACTTAACCTCGGCAAGAGGAAAGAAATATGAGTCAGTGCGGAACCGCAAAGAAGACGAGGATTCAGATTACGATTAATTTGGTTTATACGTGTTAAAAAATATATTTATGAAGATACGTCGATAACAATTAAAGTAAACTGTATACCTAAGATTAATCAAGCCATTCAGAGCGGTGCTGGGAATAATACTCTACTATGCACCAACAATTTACCCATATAAATTACCATCATTCTTGTACTCATTGCGTCGATTAAGGACGATAAATATACGAAAGCGGTTGCGTTTCGATTGAAACGCAACCTTTCAAGTCTCTTACCACTCCATGACACGTGTTTCTGGGTCTACCCGTCATCAGAAACCTACCCGGGTAAATTGTTGGTGCATAGTGGAATAAATTATTCCCAGCACCGCTGTGAATGGCTTGATTAAGCTTGAGTATACAGTTTACTTTAATTGCTATCGACGTAACTTCATCTTTCCTCACTAGAGGTCTCTAGTTGCATACTCTGGCAGTTATTTTCCTGTAATTGCTAGAGTAATTGGTGCGTTTTGATTTGGTTTGAATCTTCTTACAAACTCCTTCTGATGACGGATAGATCCAGAAACACGTGTCAGGGAGTGGTAAGAGACTCGAATTAAATCGAAACTCAACCTTTTTCGTGAATGTATTTATAGGTTATAAGACTATTTTTTGACTTGTTTTACCTTTTATTCTTATTCCTACTAGGTGTTACTCTTTCAATTAATATCTTACTATATTTAATATACCTGGAAATAATTATAATATAAATAAAATACGTGATCTTTATGGGATCTACGTGGTTTATTTGGGATAAAGATTATTTAGAATACTAAAAAAAGTTAGTGAGCATTAATTGTTCCATGTCCAAGATTGCACCGAGTTAGTAAAATAATTAATAAAACAAAATTATGTGCAGCACTTGAGTAATGCAATCTGCAAAAGTTTATTTTGCATTTTCAAAAATAGTACTCCGAGGACATAGCACAAATTGTGGTCTAAGGTATTGATGTGTAAAAATTTTTTTTTGCATTCAACTCCTTTAATACATATATGAAAATAAAAATACAAACTTTCATTAAAATATTGATACCTACAATCCTTCATTTACTATACTCCTATTACAGGTCAAATGTTTATATACAGCAAACGATGCACCATATACCTATATAACTAATTATTTTTCTCTTTCTGCTCTCTCTTATCTATAGCATTACATATGTCATTAATTGTGCAGATTGACGTCCCATATAAATTTTTAACGGCGAACGCGTCTATAGAAGGATAACTTTTACCGGCAGTCCCACTGGACTGCCACAACCCGTTTTTTTAAACAATATTAAACATGTAACACAAATAATTGTTCCGGTGCACGCTTGATTTGTTATTGTAATTATTTCACAAACTCATCTATAGATTGTATCCCGTCCCACACTAAGCGCCCACCCTTTTAAACTGTTAAAATTTCATAACATTTATATTTATGATTTTTAACCGGACTCTATAACATAGACATAATAACTTCACTGCATACTTATGTGATAATTATAGACTAATAGTACAATAGTAATAAACTTACATTTACAGTTGGAGATAGAACACCAAACAGACTAAATAAACTCAACAGAATCTTTGTATTCATGGTGGACCGTAACATTAAAATATTTTAGTCAATTAGTTGTTTTTTGGGTATAGGTTCATTTATTGAATATAAGAAAATATTACATTATTCTTAATTTTATATAATTATCCATTGTCTTTCAAATGATAACATTGTAGGTATTTATTAAGGTAATATTTTACATAATCGCTTCACTAATTAAAACGACTATTATGTAGGCAAATTAATTTTTATAATTATTATCAGCATGCTGATATTATAGTTGTTCTTACCTGCTTTACCTCTTTGGCTTTTCAAATTCGTCATAAAATATAATCCATTATTTTAAAAGTCTCACTTTTGAACTTTAAATAAAGAAGCATGATTATAATTGTTATAATTTAAAGTAAACTATACACAGTCAAGTCTCCAATAGCAACTTCTCACAGCGATTGGTCGAATTTGAAGCACCTCATCCTCACAACAAGGAGGATTCAGACCCGGCAAATCTTGCACCTCGCACTAACAAAATACATTGAAGAGGGCTTTGCAGAAAAACTTATAATAGGGGCTGCTTTTCGTAGATTTGACAGCAGCCTATGTCAGAGTAAGACACTCTTAATGATCACCATCTGGGTAAGGTCGTATATCCTTTACTTCAAAACAGACGTTTTTTTGTTATGCTGGAGGGTAAAGTAAGTAGGTGGAGAGTTAATAAAAACGGCCTCCCACAGGGAAGTGTTTTAGCACAAATCCTCTTCCAAGCACTTGAAAGCTCTTGTAGGTGGCTCTGTTAAATTTAACTAACTATATGTGATGTTTTAATATTGTTGTGAGAGGAGATAAAACTCTACAAAAGGCTGAAGTCTCCAGAGATCCGAAACCAAAGCCCGAGGGAAAAAGTGGATGAGTAAAATCAGGTGTGGTAAAAACAGAATGAAAAGGTGATGATATGTGGATAAGTAGGTGAAGATGTATGATCCTTTTTCTTAAGTTATAACTTGTGCAATTTATGAACAATACAATACTAAACCACCTTTCAGCCATCAATTTTCTGTTTGTCTTGCATACTTGTCAACACACAAAAACAACTTACCAACTTTATTCTATATACCGAATCACTAATTTATGTTCATGAACATATAAAAATCCCATGGACGGCTATGCTGACAAATGTGGCAGTCCTTGAGAGAGCAAATGCTGCTCGCAAGCTGCTTGCTAAGGGCGAGCGCCCACCAAAGTGGCGTGGCAAGTAGCACGTAGCAAGTAGCACGCGTCTAGCATGTTTCTTAAAATGTAACCAATTAAAACGAATGATTAGAATGAATGACGTCACTGTCATTTTGGTGTACGCTGAATCATTCGTTTTCATTGGTTACATTTTAAGAAACATGCTAGACGCGTGCTACATGCCACTTGCTACGAGCCACGCCACTTTGGTGTGCGCTCTCACTAACATCAAATGTAGAAAGGTGGCCTATTTTGGACACGTAGTAAGAGAAGACCGATATAATATTCTTCAACTTATTATGATGGGTAAAATCGAAGGACGCAGAGGAATTGATAGAAAGCAGGCCTCTTGGTTGAAGAATATCAGAGAGTGGACAGGAATAAAGAAAGCTGAGCAACTCTTTAGAATAGCTCGAGACAGAGGCAGTTTCGCCATGTTAATCGCCAACGTCAAGGGGACTTGATAGGGCACGTTAAGAAGAAGAACTATAATTTAAAAATCTTTTTATATTTACCAGGTACCAAATGTTGTTTTTGACATAGAGAATCTTCCATGCTTAAGTTATAAGTTAAGTACTACATGAACATTACATTACAAAAACATTTTATCATATTTAAATTTCATCTCAACAGATCTTTCAAATATATCAGTTACTATATATCACCTTACACAAAAAATTTATAGAACCCATCTCCGTATATATGTCTATTTTTCCATTTTCTAGGTACCAAATGTTGCATAACATAAAGGGCCTTTTGTTAAAATCTTTAGTTTATAGCCACTTAATTCAGACTTATGTATAGTTGGTTGCCTATCAATACCCACAAAATTTCTCCCTACTTCAGTCTACCTACATTGATTTATAAAACAAACTACAACATTGATGGTTGCGACTGTTATATTATTATAATTTTAACTTATTCAATTTTAAATATTGCTGCCTTCTGTCATATTTAGACAACTACCGTAAGTTACACTGACTGCTTTGTTCCGATTTCCGTCCTAACATGTCAATATTGTCATTTGAATCAGTTGCTATCAACAAGTCCTCGTAGACACTTTGTCTCAGGACCAAGTAACGTCATGTGTACGTTGCCATGTTACCAGTTCCACTGGTAACTTAAACATCTTAACTTTTAAGAACATATAATGTAACATTTAACGGGTTTACATAAATATTTTAGTGGCTCAAAACATGTATACTTAGTAAGTATTCACCACATTTTGCATAACCTTAGTCAACATTTCAAATTTCACGTTCTTTTTAATTAAAGTGGTTATATACTGTCAAGTTACACTGATGATGGAATATACATTCCGCAAACGTTCTGTAATAGTGATATAGCCTGTTTGGGTATTTTATTATATACCTTTTATAAAGGATTTTAAATAAAAAAAAGTTTAAATTAATTTTCTTTCGATTTAAAAAACTTGGAAAAAAGGAATTTGTTTTGAGTTTGTGGTTTATTTCTATTGAATTAAAATCTAAAGTAGAACAACAAAACTCTTCAAATGGTTTAAATCAATGATATACACTCAAGTATGTCCATAATTTCGTTTTTAGTTACTGTTTCTACTGTAAAACAGTTACGAATACGTTCAATTAATTTTTGATCATTTCCTGCTATCTTATTTACTCCCTCTTCATTATATTTATTGTCATCAGTTAATAGTCCGACCTTTTTGTACAAGCATAAGGCGTAGGCTCTCGTGAACACGTCGTTTTCTTCTTCAGTTTTTGGCCCAAGATAATATTCAATGTAGGCTCGGATCTGACACTCTCCATGAAAAAGGTCTAGTTTACCTTCCGGTAAACGTTCAGAAGGCTGGAAAAGACAAAATAATGTTAATAAAATAAAATGTTAAGCACATACTGCAAATATTCTATCAACGAAGGGTGCTTGACGTAATCTTTGAAATTTTAAATTTTCGCTTAGATAAAATCACTTCATTATTGCTTAAATGTTTTGACTATTTGCGATTTACGAAAAGCACTTCATTTTATAAACATTACAAAATTATAGTTTGTGTTTGCACTCTTTAAAAGTTTGAGAATGGAAAAGTGGCATCTGACCATAAATACATTTGACAGGTCCTTTAAAATACAGTTGGTTTAGGGTCCTATTTTAAACATCTGCTATGGTGCATTTAAAAAACAACTCAATTGATTAAATTGTGATATATATTTGAAAAATCTTTGATGTCAGTCTTATTATCGATATAAATTTGACCTTTTATGTGAATTATCTCCAGTATGCAAGTTTTGTTGTAGTTTAGTTTTTTTCTGAATGATTGGCTAAGGCTGTTGTGTTTAATTTGTTCGTTTGTACACTGTATGTGCAACAACCCCTCTATGCAGATATTGATGTGTTTGCCCAATATATGTTGAACTCCAGTCTTTACAATTTACTTATACATTGTAAGAACGTTTCTTTTCATAGTGTTTAATAATCTCATTACATTCTTTATTATGCATTTGTGTTTTCGCATGTCTTATCTTCTGCCTTATTAATACGTGTTAATAAGGCAGAAAATAATCCTCTTGTTTTCGGTTTTTTTTACTTCTGACTTCTGGTTCATAAGCCTTTAAGTCCATGAGTATTTCTTCTGTCATTTACCCTTGTTTTTCTCTTGTTGTTATTGAACTCAATATTTGTTTAGTCTTTAACAGTCTTTAATATATCTTTCATTCTCATCCAGTTTTTCTCAGCACTTTCCTCGTTACTTGATGTCGACATTTGTTGCTCTAGTATCCAGGATATTATATAATCTCGTAATATATTCCCTAATCGGGCGCGACTCCGGGTGGCGGATATGGAAAGGTCTCCCAGATATGGGTGGTACCGGGGAAATGAAATACCCAGCGTGGACCAAAACTAGCAAAACAGTAGAGTCTGATCCAGAGTGGACGGCTCCAAACAGCGTCTGACCCACCTGATACAGAACTCACCAACCTGTCTGGCAAGCGAAATGTTTTAATGCCAAAAAAACCCTCTTCAGAAAACATGTCGAATTATGAAACAAACGGAATAGGACCCCAGGTGGGTAGAGTTACTAACTCGGATTCCCACACCGGTTCGCCTTAAGGATTCTGGCGGAGGCAAATATTCGACAAAAATAAATGTAGGAAATTATAACATCAGATCCATGAACGAAGACACTAAAATCCACGAACAAGAGGAAGAACTGACTAAAATACAGTGGGTTATTATCGGTATATCCGAAGTAAGAAGCCAAGAAACAAAGATTCTTATGAACACAAGGGGACCGAAATAAAATGGAATACAAAGAAATAAACAAAACTATTAGAAAATATATCAAGAGTGTAAACAGAAAAAATAAAAAGATGAAGTGCTTAAAATAGAACTTGGGAAACATACAAATTAATAGTATAAAGAACAAAGAAGGAGTGGAGACCAACAATATAAAAGAAATTTTACAGATAACGCACGAATATTATACAAATATCTATAAAACAGAACAAAAACCATCCCAAGAAATCCGTAATCAGTTACAGCTGGAAATAAAGAACGTTAACTCTGACCTACAATCAGAAATAAGTAAAAATAAAATAAAAAAAGGCACTCAAAAAAATAAAGAATAACAAATCTCCTGAAAAAAATGGAATAACTATAGAAATGCTCAAAAATGGGGAAAAACTACAGTGAAAGTCCTTTATGTACTAATAAATAAAATATTGAACACAAAACAAATACCCACCACATGGAACAAGGCAATAACACTATTACTATTTAAGAAAGGCGATAGAAAAGATCTGAAAACCCATAGGCCCATAACGCTACTTAATTTAGTGTACAAACTGTTAACTACTAACAAACAGATTTAACAACTAAGTTAGATGATTACTAGTCAAGAGAACAAGCCAGTTTTAGAAAAGGATTCAGTACAAGCGACTATCTGCTTACGATAAAAATATTAATTGAAAAGGCCAACGAATATCAACTCCCAATGTATATGGCATTTGTAGACTTTGAAAAAGCATTCGATAAGGTAGAACATTGGGCAGTAAAGAGCTCTTAACAAAATGGGAGAATAGACTATAGATATACGAACTTAATTTAGGGGGGCTGAACTTAATAAGGGCTATATAGATAGATAGATCCAGGATATTTCTTGTTTTATATTATCATTTGAAATTGAAATCGAAAAATCTATAAACGACATGAAAAGAAATAAGTGGCCGGTGAAGACAAAATACTGGCGGAACTGCTAAAAGAAGGAGGAGACACGATATAAAAAATGTTAAAAATACTGTTCAACAAATGTCTGTTTGAAGGTAAAATACCTAAACAATTAAGAAATGCCAACACAATCTTAATACATAAGAAAGAAGACCGAACAGACCTAAACAATTACCGTCCTATTTCCCTTTTGTCACAACTCTATAAAACCTTCACAAGAATACTTGATAACTACCTATACTAACCTATAAACTTGATAACTACCAACCAGTGGAACAGGCCGGATTCAGGAAAGGATACAGCACAATCGACCATCTACATGCGCTTAAAATTTTAATTGAGAAAACCAATGAATACAACCTTCCGCTGTACTTAGCATTCGTAGATTATGAAAAGGCTTTCGACAGCATTGAACACTGGGCGGTTGAAGAAGCTCTGGTTAATAGTAGAATAGATTCAAGATACCGACAATTGATACATGATATTTACCAAAACGCAACCAGGATCGTAATTCTGGACGACAAATTAATAACGGATAATATAAAAGTTAAACGAGGAGTCCGACAAGGCGATATAATTTCACCTAAACTGTTTACCTTGACCTCGAGATATAATAAAATCAACAGATTGGGAAAACAGAGGAATATGTATTAACGGAAAATACCTAAATCACCTTAGATATGCGGATGATATACTCCTGATCTCCTCGGAACGACAAGAACTGTAATTAATGCTAAATGAACTTCATGAAAAATCACTGCAAAAAGGCCTAAAAATTAACTTTAACAAAACAAAAGTAATGACAAACACGGAAGACCAAGAGGCAATAAAAATACAAACAGAAAAAATAGAACAGGTAAATGAGTATATCTATCTAGGACAAGCAATCAGAGCTAACAGAGAAAATCAAACAGCCGAAATATCGAGACGAGTAAGAATAGGATAGGCAGCGTTCGGCAAACTTTCTTACGTTTTAAAAAATCAAACAATCCCTCTATACTTACGAAGCAATGTTTATAACTTCTGTATAATACCGGTGCTCACTTACGGAGCACAGACATGGACATTTACACAGGCCAATTTGGATAGGATAAGGAAGGCACAAAGAGCGATGGAGAGACAAATGTTGGGTATATCACTTAAAGATAGAAAACGTAACCAGTGGATCAGAACCAGAACAAAGACAGTAGACGCGATAGAACAAGCAGCAAAACTGAAATGGAAATGGGCTGGACACAATGAACATCTCCAAGACGGACGATGGAACAATGCCATCGGAAAGTGGCGTCCATACAATGCAAAGAAATCAAGAGGCAGACCACAGATGAGGTGGAAAGATGACATCAGGAAACAAGGATATCCCACATGGCAGAGAACAGCTCAAGATAGGGAAAGATGGAGAGAACTGGGGGAGACCTATATCCAACAATGGAAGGATTGAGAATAGGTTCAAAAAAAATTATCATTTGACAAACTCCCTCTATCAATAATAAATTTTTGTTTATTTACCCTTGTATCCTTTTTCAATCTTAGTTTTACTTTGGTTTACACTAGCAAAATATTGTGATTTACTGGTACATTAACACTTGGATATGTTTTGATTGCTAGTACTAAATGTTTGTATCTTTTATTTATACTATGTGTATTAGTTTATACTATTTATATTATGTGTATAAGTTTATTTCGTTACGAACCACTCATTCAGGTATCTGCTGGTGATCTCCAGGTGTAAAGATTATGCTATGGAAGTTTCGAGCTGTACGAGTTGCTTTTCTACACAAAAAGATGTCAACATATTCTCCTCTTTCATTTCATATTAATTAAATCGTTAGGTGATAGTCCAGGCAATTCTAATGAATTCAAAAGCTCTGAAGGATAGTTGACTCATGATCTAATCATAAGTGATCAGTTATCAACAAGATTTAAAATTGTTAAATTACTAATATGGCTATTAAAACATTAATATTTATGGTGTTTTGTTTGCAACGTAAAGAAATAAAACAATGCGTTTAATTTAATTAATTTTCTTTAAAAACTGGCTTTCAATTAAAAAAAAAAAAAACTTGGAAAAAAGGAATTTGTTTTGAGTTTGAGGTTCGTTTTAAGTCCTACATTGAATAAAATCTAAAATAGAACAACAAAACTTTTCCAAATGGTTTAAATTAATATAATACACTTGTGTATTTGCATAATTTCTTTTTTGGTTACTGTTTCTACTGTAAAACAGTTACGAATACGTTCAATTAATTTTTGATCATTTCCAGCTATCTTATCTACTTCCTCTTCATTATATTTATTATCATCAGTTAATAATCCGGTCTTTTTGTATATGCATAAGGAATAAATTTTTATGATCTCTTCATTTTCTTCTTCTGTAGTTGGTCTATCAATATAATTAATGTAAGCTTGTATCTTGCATTCTTTATCAATTTTGTCTATTGTATCTTCCGGTAAATGTTTAGTAGGCTGGAAAAATAAGACAAAATAATGTTAATAAAATAAAATGTTATGCGCGTACTGCTAATATTCTACCAAGGAATCTTTGGCAGGCAGTAATCTTTGAAATGTTGAATTTTCGCTTAACCAAAAATACTTAAAAGTTTAATATAGAATAAAAAAGTGGTATCTGATCATAGATACATCTGACAGGTATTTTAAAATACGAGTGGTTCAGGGTCCTACTAAACAGCTGCTATGGTGCATTTAGAAAACAACTCAATTTATTAAATTGTAATATTTATTGGAAATATCTTTGATGTCAGTCTTATTATTGATAGAATTTTGATCTTTGTTATGTGAATTGTCTGCAGTATGCATGTGTATACTGCATTATATTATATAACTTCTTAAATTATATAACTTCTTAGAACAACAAAATTTATAAGCCATGAACACACACTTCAAGAAACCATCAAACCGAAAATGGACGTGGATATTTCCCGATAAAACGATTAAAAACGAGGTCGATCACTTCTTATGTGGAAATAAAGGCATTTTTAAAGATATAAATGTTCTCAATCGATTCACAACTGGAAGCGATCATTTTAAGGGCAAGGATTCTTATTAAACAGACGAAAACCAGTAGAAACAGGCCACATAATTATTGTAATCAGATAGATCAAACTAAAATACGACAGAAGGGAGAGAGAGTATGGAGAAGTCTTAATAAAAAATTTGTAGAACACATTATCAACAAGAATATTCCGACATGAACACAATTAATAAAGAAATGCTGAGAAAGCTATTGAAAGCAGGACTGACTTGCAAAGAAAAGTGAAGGAACAAAACGGTTGATGGAAAAGAGACGCACATTTCTTAGCAAATTAAAGCGAAACACCAATGGTTTTAAAGAATTGAATAAACAAATAAAAAAGGAACTAAAGGATTATTTAAGGATCTATAATGAAAACAAGGTAGAACAAAAAATAGAAAAGAACCCAGGGCTGAAATACTTAAGATCAAACTTAGGAAAGCCTATAATAATCTCATTGAAGGATAAGATGGAAAAGAAATAAGACAAAAGAACGAAATCCTAAAAGTTACTCAAACGTTTTACCGTGATTTATATTTCTAAAACAAGAACCCAGTAACACTGCAAATGAAGATCTTAAGAGAAAGATAAAGACTGTCAACTCAAAAATACTCCCTAACATAGAATCCTTCGAAATAAAACAAGTTATGACACCACTAAAGAACAATAAGGCTCTAAGCCCAGATAGAATATTTATAGAAATGTTGAAGGAGGGAAGTGAAATTATTCTCGAAGAATTGAAAAAATTTTTTCAATGAATGTCCTCACAGAGGAGAAGTCCCAGATTATTGGAATGAAAGTTTGACAATACTTCTCTTTAAAAAGGGAGATAGGAGAGATCTGAAGAACTATAGGCCAATCTTCCTGCTGTCCCAAATGTACAAACTGTTTATGAGAGTAATAACTAACTGGTTAACATCGAAGCTCGATAAGTATCAACCGGTAGAGCACGCAGGATTCCGAAAGGTTTACAGTACAGTGAATCATCTTCTTACAGTCAGAACTATAATAGAGAATGCCAATGAATATCATTTGAACTTATACATTGGCTTCGTTGATTATGAAAAGGCATTCGACTCTATAGAACTTTGGGCAATAGAGAGAGCTATGAACAACTGCAGGATAGAGTCCCGATACAGAATGCTCATACATAATATTTACAAAAAAGCTACAATGAAAATACAAATAGATGCGAAAACCAAAGCTTTACCAATCAACAGAGGAGTTCGCCAGGGAGATGTTATCTCACCAAAGCTCAACAAAGCACACTTGGACTGGAAGACTTGTTCAAAGACATTAACTAGACAGATAAAGGAATAAATGTTCATGGAAGAATACAAGTTTCGAAGAACTACAGACCATGATAACGCAACTATTTTAAGCTTCGGAAAAAGTAGGTCTTAAGATGAACTTGGAAAAAATAAAAATAATGACAAATACACTGAAGTACATCTACCTGTGGCAGATAATGAAAGTTAACAAAGAAAATCAAACTGCTAGAATTACTAGAAGAATAAGGTTAGCGTGAACAGGATTTGGAAAACTGAGTTGGATCTTGAAAAGCACTAAAATAGAACAATATTTGAACACCAGAATTTACTATCAGTGTATCCTCCCTATACTCACGTATGGTTCATAGACGTGGACACTCACCAAGTCTAATATGGATAAAATAGTACAAGCACAAAGAGCAATGAAAAGATCAATGCTCGGGGTGAGACTTACCCTAAATGATAAGAGATGGAATCACGAAATACAACAATGGAGATCATGGTTATGAAAGAGAAGCAGAGGATGACAACAAATGAGATGGGCTGATAACATTAACAAGATCAGAGTACACAACTGGAAGCAAGTGGTGGAAAATAGAAAATACTGGATTGATTTGGGGAATGCCTATATTCAAAGTTGGATTACTTGAGGCTAAAGAAGAATAACATGCATGTATTGTAGTTTTGTTCTTTTTCCAAAATCTATATATTTTCAAAATCAGAATAATGTCTATTTTACAGAGAATGCTTGGCTAAGATTGTTGTGTTTGATTTGATAGTTCGTGAATTATGTTTGTGTGCAACAACTCTTCTATGCAGATATTGATGTGTTTGCCCAATATATGTTCAATTGCAGTCTTTACAATTTACTTTAAAATACTTCATGTTTCTTTTTATAGTGTTGAATTTCATTACATTCTTTACTAAAAAATTGTGTTTTCGCATGTCTTATCTTCTGCCTTATTATTGCGTAAATCCTCTTGTATCCGTTCTTTTTATTTTGGTCCATAAGTCTCTGAGTCCATGAGTATTTCTTCTGTCATCAACCCTTGTTTAACTCTGATTTTTATTGCACTCAATTTTTTTCTTGAACGGTTTTTATTATATCTTTTATTATGATTCAGTTTTTCTCAGTACTCTCCTCTTTACTTGATTTCAACTTTAGATTTTTGCTCTTTACCTTTTTAATCTTAGTCTTAGTTTTACTTTGGTTTATCCTACCAAAATATTGTGATCTGTTGGTACATCAGCACTTGGATATGTTTAGACTGCTAGTACTAAATCTTTTGTATCTTTTTTTATACATATATGCCTAATAGTAAGTACATTTCATTACGAATCACTCGTTCAGGATCTCCTGGTGTCAAGATTATACTTAAAGAGTTTGAAAATTGTGTTTGTGTGTGACGAGTTGCTTTTCTATATAAAAAGATGCCAACATCTCCTCGTTAATTTCAAACTCCCAGACCATATTTTCCTATGATATCTTCCAGCTTTATTTCGCGAATATTTGCATTATAATCTCCCATGACAATAATGATCTCATGTTTCTTTGTAGATGCTAATACTTTTTCTAAATCATGATAGAATTTTCCAACTTCTTCTCCTTCATAGTCTTGTGTGGGTGCATTTGTTGTTGCTGTTTGCATTTGTAACATTAGTGTCATGTCTTAGAATAAAACGACGTTTTCGACAGTTTTATCTGTTTCCAATTTCACAATTATTGCTTCACCATTTTTATGTTTTGAACAGACTTTCTTTGCATAGTATTCAATGTGATTCATCCCTAGCTACTTTGCCAGGCTTTAGCTACCTCATTTCACTTTTTCCCACATCAAATAGATTCAGAGCTATAAAGTATCTAGTAGCTACAGAAAAATATTGTTATAATCAATATTCAGTTTAACATCATTTTTTTGTGTCACTAGTACTCACATTTAAAAAATTAATGGTTTAAAGCAAAATATAAAATTTGTAACAGTTAAATAGTTAATAAAGTATTGTTAGTTTAATATTAATTTAGTAATCAGTTAATAAACTGATTTTTTATATCAGTATTTTATAACTGCAGTAAAAATTAGTCAAACATTTAATAGTATTAATGAAAAAATTTGAAGACTTACATCGAAAGATAGTACACCAAGCAGAGCAACAATTACAATCAAAAGAATCTCTAGATTCATAATGAAGAGGAGGATAGACAGATTTTTGTCATATAATATCTATTTGTGTATGTATGCACTTATATGATAATGCAAGTTACAAGTAGGCGTTGATTTTATGGTTTTTAATTATCTATAAAAATTACCAATTTTTTTGTTTTTTAACAAATAAGATATATTTTTTTATATTGTCACACTAATTTAATACATATTATATAAGAAAATTAATTTTTTTATTATCATCGACTTTATAGTTCGCTACTCAGTGAGTCTCAATTTTTAATTTTTTATAAAATCCATGAAAATTTGTTGGTAGTTGATTTCCTCAAGCGGCCTAAGAAAATACCTCTATACTACTACGAACATTAAAAGGAAAAAACTACCCTAAGGAAATCTTGTAATTAGTCTATGAAAAAAGAAGAGCAAGAAATAAATGACAACTAACCAAAGCATCACAAAACTGGTACGTACCTACAAAAACATATCCAAGAAGTATCACGAAATTGTCAGAATTTAAAATCAATATTCCCTATATAGAAGATTTATTGAAATAAACTATCAGAGTCAATAAAAGTAACTAAAGGACTAAGACAAGGGTGCAGTATGTCACCCTTACTGTTTAATTTATATATTGAGGCAACCCTCCAAAATTGGAAAAACCACTGCCAGGGAATGGGAATCCCCATACTGGGACTGTTCTCTCTGAACTTTGCAGATGACCAAGTCGTCCTAGCTCAAGATTCTTATGATCTAGAATTTATAATAAAGCGTCTATACAGAGAGTATGCAAAATTGGGGTTACAAGTCAGCATGAAGAAAACAGAATATTTTGTTATCAATTCAGATACAAGGTTTGAAGTGTTGATAAACGAGGACGTGGAAATCAAACATGTAGAAAAATTTAAATATTTAGGTGCACTCATTGATAAGAATGACTTGGGAGAAACCGAAGTTAAACACCGAATTAATCAGGACGTAAAATTATAGGATATCTGAACTCCTTATGGTGGGATGGGAACATTTCCAAAAGGAACAAAAAAATATTGCAAACGACGGTTGAATCAGTTATTTGTTACGACTCTGAAGTATGGACAATTAATGCTGACCTGAAGAGAAGATTGTTGGCAGTTGAAATAGATTATTTGAAAAGAAGTGCTAGAACATCAAGGCTGGAAAGGAAGACCAACGAATCAGTTTAAAGATATATGGCATTTTGGGAGAATTTTGAAGATGCCATGGCCCGATTATATTACAAACGAAATGGTGTTGCACAGAATGGAAAGAGACAGAGAAAAGGCGAAAGACAGCATATTTGGGGCACATACTTAGAAATGAAAAATACGAGTTGTTGCAGCTAATTATGAATGGTAAATCGAAGGGAAAAGAAGTCCTAGTAGACGACAACTATCCTGGCTGAAAAACATTCGCGATTCGGCCGGGTTAAACACACAGATGCTTTTAAGAAAAGCAGAAGATAGAGGCGAATTTGCAATGCTTATAGCCTGTTTCAAGTTGGCTTTATATTAAATTAAAATAATACAAGATTAACTTGTAAGCAAGTTACGTTTATTAAACTGTCAAACATAACCCATGTTCCCCCAGCCCAGATGTCATATATGTCTATAATCGTAGAACATATATGTACAATCTAATATGACACTATGAAGTGTCATATATGTAACATGGCCAACATTCATTAGTAGAGACGGCAATAAAAGAAGAAGAAGACTGTAATGTCTTCCAAACCAAAACAAACCAAACATACCACATGAGGTTCCAAATTATTCACGCACAAAGGTCTAGCATTAATGAATATAATCCAACAAAACAACTTAAAATACTTATTGACGGAAGAACCCATACACTGGCCTATGGATCGTATCAAAATCCCAGATTTGGTAGATTGTACTGTACCAAAAGGGATAGCTGACATCCATATATGTAATAGTGTCAAACTTCGATTTAATATTAGAGCAGAGCACAACAATAATAATTTTAGGTATATACATAATATGGAGAACACCACCACCCAAACTCCCAAATATCAAAAGACAATAAAAAAAGAAATTATGAAAGTATTGGGTTGTAGAGCGCTAAACTGTAGGAAATTAAAATAAAAAAAAAACAAATAAAAATTAAGGCTATGGAAATTAACTATTCTAGACGATGTTGCTGATGTACTAGACTATATAGGGTTAAGAACAAAAGTATTCGGAGATAAATGGAAATTAATCTAGATACAATAGACACAATTCAAGCTCAAAAGACAAAACTGGTATGGACACCTGCAGAGAATGCCTGAAAATAGATGGCGAAAAAAGATAATAAAAAAATACTCCGACCACTGGAAGAAAACTAGGTTTAAGGCAATGCTGAAAGAAGATGTCAAAGATAAAATGATCGCCAAAGATATAAAAACTGAAGATTACTTTACGACAGTTTAAAATGGTCTGAACACCTATTGAGAATGTCTGACGAATGTGTGTGTGCGTGTGTGTGCGTGTGTGTGTGTGTGTGTGTGTGTGTGTGTGTGTGTGTGTGTGTGTGTGTGTGTAAAAGATTAAATCTTCTAGCAAAAGCTGCTATCGCTTTGTTGAATTAAATGGCCAAATATTTGGCATAGAAGGACAAATTAGTTAAACTTCTCGTGCTCGAATCGGTAATAATAAAGTGTATTGAATCATTTCGGCCTATCCCAGCCTCATCAGACACTTGTGCTGATACAAATTCAAACTCGGAAAGTCCAACGAATGTCTCCTAACACTTCACTACAGCAGTAGTTAGCGTACAGAGGCGCCACCTGCTTTAGCAGCCATGAACGAAAAGGATATAATAATATCTTTTCTGTGTCCTCTGGGCTATGCGAATAGACTAAGTAAATGAAAAGATGTATACACCTACTTTTATATTCATTTATTAACAATTGTTTACAATATTTTCTCAGAATATAGATCAGTATCGATTTACTTAATCCTAACCTTTTGAAAAAGTCTTTATTTATTACAAAAATTAAAATTTTCATGTCTGCATCAAATAATATATTCTCGCACTAAGTTTATAAACATTTAACATCATACTGATCATATTCTCCGGTTTCATTAAATCTTTTAGTATCCATGTCTCTAACCTACACTAAACAACAATATTTAGGTTATAGTTTTGATTTCGCTATAACCTATAGCATAACGGACTACAATAAACACAATTTATTTTCCAGGTAACTTTTTATTCAGTACTTTATTTGGCAAATAAATATTTTATGTGTCAGTTTATCTCTTCAGGTTTCTTTCAGGTTTAATAAAATTTAATCAATTAATAATTCATTAAACGTAACGTTTCAAGAACAAAATATGATTGAACAACTGGTTAAAATGTCGTAGTTCGAATTTCTTTGTTCAAATGGCGTTAGGATTTAAATCTAAACTAACATAAAGCTTAAAATTATTTTAAATTATATTTTACCTTAAAATTATTAATTATTATTAAAATTAATTACTAATTATATTATTATGTAATTAATACAGTATTATTAATTAAAGGTATCGTTACAAAAACAAAATATGATCGAAATGTAAAATGGTGGTAGTTCAGATTTCTTTCCTAGATGGCGTTGTTAGTTTACTGGACAAACGGTGTTACCTGTCATCATAGCCTTTTATGTAGATAGATATTAACATTGATTTACACATTTAAATAAATAACGCAAATAAAAATAAAAATAGATTTAAAAAATAGTTTAAATTAAAAGAAATATGACAAAGTTTAACAAATTTTTTTAAATAAACAAATGTTTTAAGCTTCTCGTAGAAGCACTGATTTTCTCAACACATATTTACTAAACTCCAAGTAAGCGTCTTTTATGCACGTGAGTAGCTGTAGAATTTCTTTTTTAGTTACTTTTTTGTGGGTACTACATCGGTCACCGATATCTTTGGGTAATAAATCCCGATTAAACGTGTCACTCAAATCTTTCAGTATGTCTTTATCGAATTTGTTTTCATCAGTTAATAGTCCCATCTTTTTCGAGTAGCAAAAGTAGTAGTCTGCTATTTTACCATCGGTTACGTCAGACGTCGGAAAATTTACTTTTTTGAGACCCAATTCCATTTTGCAATCCTCACTAAATTTTTCTCTTTGTTTACTTGGGCCAATGAGTTCTTCAATAGACTGCAAAATATAAGACAATTTGTGTGTAAGTAAATACGTCATGGCAGACGCTAAAAAAATCAACAATAATAAAAGTAAGTACATAATATTTAGCATGTTTCTGTAAAATGTACTAAAAACTAAAAAAAGGTACTAAATTGAAATTGTGATAAATTGATGATAGGTACCTACAATAGTTCTTTGGCCCTAAACACAAAGTATCATTGATGATACCTTGGGTCCTAAACGGTAGTGTATTTTAAAATATTTTTTTTTATTTTTAGGGCCGCTAACTGCGACTGAACTTCAGGAAATCGCAGATAATGTGAATATAGATGACTCTGACTTGGATCTTTCTCTTTTTCCTGACAGTGATGATGATGGGGATGAATGCGATGAACCTAAAAATCTGGATGAGAATGGAATTATTGTTGAAAGTGAGAAAGAGAGGAGTGATGATCACGCTGAAATCAGTGATATATCAGACGACGATTCGGATGATGACGTGCTATTCCTAAAAAAGACAGGAAAGAATGGAAGACAACACATTTTACACCAAAATTTGCCCAATGTCACTCCCCTGTGCAAGATCCCTTGAATCTCGAAAATATTTCAAGAGCTATCGATCCATGGCGTTGTACACAAATATGAAGGAAGTAAAAAAACTTGAAAATCTTTGGAGACTTCTGCAGAAGAATTAAAAACGTTTATTGCATTCTGTTTGCGTATTAGTATTTAGAACCCGACTCAAAAATTGTAGATGATGATTCTGTAACCAAGAAGAATAAAGAAAATGATAAATTCTGGAAAGTTAGACCATTGTTGGATCAAATTCAAAGAGCTTCTCCGAATAATGAAGGAACTGAAAAAGTGTCAATCGATGGCAAATCCCTTTCATGGAAAAGTATTAATGAGGCAGTTTGTGCGAGGAAAACCCATCCCTGTAGGATTGAAGAATTTTGTCATGACGACTACAGGGGGATTCCACTTGATTTTCACATGTATGAAGGTAAAGGAAAAATTTGTTGAATCCAGCTTGGTAATTACAATCAAACCGGCTGGATATCATGGAAAGGGTTGTTTTAAAACTTACAGATACTCTGCCAGTAGAAATATCTATTTTTGTTGACAGATATTTTACGTCAAAAATATTGATTGATGCATTACATTCACGTAAGCTTTATGTAACAGGATAACTAAGAAAAAATAGAATACCAAAAACTCATGTGACATTTAAGACAAATAAAGATCTAAGAAAATCAGGAAGAGGCTCCCACGCTATGCTCGTTAACAAAGACAACAAAATACCTGTTACAAAATGGTTCAATTCCAAACCAATCTATATGGCTTCATCGGCATTTGGAGCTGAACCCTTGGGATTGTGTAGGCGCTGATCAGAATAAATCGTCCAGCAGTGATTAAGCACTACAATGAATGCATGGGTGAAGTAAATTTGTTGAATAGGATTATGTCAAAGTATCCTATGAGCAGTAGAACAAATAAATGGACAATTAGATGTATTTACGCTATTATTGATTTTTGTGTTGCATCTAATTGGCTATAATTCAAGAAAGATTTTTTAGCTGCAGAACGCAGAACGAAAACGTATAAAAGAGCTAGGACTACGAAGTGCTAAAAGCTAGACAAAGTCAGAAAGAAAAAAAGATCCGGAGATTCAAAATACCAACAATAAATTTTAGTGCTGTAGATTATATTGACTTAATTTCTTTTTCTGAATGCAGTGCTATAGCTCCTTCTTTGCTAAAACATATTTTCAATGAAGATGTAAGGGATATGATTGATTCTGGGAACCACAACATAGAGGTCTTAAACTGCACCTGTCATACCCAATCTGTGGAAAGAACTGTTAAGTTAGTAACTGAAGCATCTGCTGCTTTTTGTGGACCAGAATCAAGGGATGACTTTATTCGTTCAAGGTTAAAGACAAGAAATATTATGCCGTTTTTTCAGACTAACGCAAAATCAGACTACCAATCATAAAATGTATATTGTATCGTAAAACAATTATTTAGATTCAAAAAACTGATAAAAAATGAATTCTTTATTTTTAAATTAATATGGAACCTGAAGATAGGGTCCAATACAAAAAAGATTTCTTACAACTTTATTATACATCAAAATGCAACTTTTTTGTACTAGTCCCATAAAAAATAATGACTTTGAATTTTTTGTTCCACCCTAGTATACAGCCTGTAATATACAGCCGTGGTATACCCATCCTTACAACTGTAAATGAATAGGTATCATTTTGTAAATTACGAACTTTTTAATTGACAATATAATATTTTACATGTTAAAATATTGTAGATAGTTACAAAAGTTGGTTTTTATTATCATATTAACCCCCTCTGTGGCTCAGTCGTAAGCGCCTACCTTTAAATCTAAAGGTCGTGAGTTCGAATCTCATCTGGTTGAAATTTTGGTTTATTAAAAAAATTAATGAATGAAAATAATTTCTATCCTTGTGTGATCGGTACTCACCGGAGGGACCGCAGACGTTCGGATACAATTAGCGTCTTTTAGCAAAGACAATGACGTCGACTTTGCTAAGTATCAAGACAATTACTTTACACACACACAAACACACACACACACACACACACACACACACACACACACACACACACACACACACACACACACACACACACACACACACACACACACACACACACACACTACATTAATAAACTTATCTTGATTGAGACTGGCTGAATGACAATTGTCCAAGCCAAAACACACAAAAAAAATATTATCATATATTTAAAATGCAGTAAAGTTGCAGTAACAGATAAATCTAAAACAATTTAAAATTTGTAGTGTAGGAATAATAGTTCAGTAGACTTACATTAACAGATTTTACACCAAATAGAGTAAACGCAATGAACAGAATCTCTAGATTCATGATGGAGATGAAGATTGACAGATTTTCATCGATAGTGCTTAAGGTGTAAAAAATAAAAATATTGAAATAAAAGCTAGATGTAGGGCGTCGATTTTATAGTTTTTAATTTTATATAATTACCAATTGTATTGTTTTCAAATAAGAAAGATTTAAGACTAATATTTTACATTAATTTAATTAAGTATCATATAGGGATATGTATTTGCAATGACTTTTCTGATACATTGTCCCTATTTATTCCAAGTTGTTATTTAAACCAGAGAACTAACGACCACACGACCTGTGTTGGTAGTTCTCTGTTTTAAACTATGGTATACAGCCAAACACTGAGATCCTCCGCTTTTATTAGTTAGGGGAGACTGGTGCACAATGACACATTTTTTTTAGAAAATGTACTTCAACATCAGAATGCAATCTTCGAAAAAATCTCAATTTAGAGTTTTGTTATCTGTGTACATTTGTCTATTATATTTGCGAATTTTATAGACAAATAAGATTAGCCTATAAAAGATGCGAATATCTTCAACAATTGATAAATGTTTTACATAAATATATTTGTTCCAAATTTAAGAAAAATCGGTTAACATTTGGTTTTGTAAATGAAGTAAGTCTTAACATTGAACATCCTTTTACCTTCTGATGCTTAATGATAAATTTCTTTTTATAAATGCCCTCTTTATCTTTGCTTGCACATTTGTTAGCCTTCGGAGATTATGGCATGGCGGTATTGTTTTTAGCAACCATTTCATATGCCAATTTTCTGACTTTTAAAGTATTCAACCCAAAAGTCATTTTGCCACAGTTCTTGACCTACTCACACATTGACGTTTCATGCTCTGTATTCAATAATAATTGATATAATATTCAAATAACAACAGAATAATTTGACTCCCTTTTTGCATTTGGATCATTTTTTTAGAACATATCGTCTTAATGTGTTAAAATTTATGCCAAACATATCTGTCGCAACACGAAGTTCAGTTCCATTTTTTTTTAACCTCTATGACTGCTGCGGCCATTTTTTCACTTTTAAATTTGGCTCTTGATCTTTCTTTCTTTCTCCTTAACATGGCACACCTGCAATAGAATGCCATTGGTATAGAATCATTCAGTATGGTACACAATGAAACATGTGTCATTGTGTACCAACACTATAATATGTTTCAATGTGTACTACCACAGGTTTAAAGTTTCAGTTGGATGTAAAGGTAAAACCAGGCCATTATTGGCAACGATATTTATAGGTTAAAAGGCATTCATCACAAGTATTATAACGACATATATATGATAACTAGTTACTTATAAGGCAACATACATTTTTATAAACGCTTGTGGAGTATTCGTTGCAGCGCTAGTGGGAATGTGGTGGTATTTTTTTTTATTTAAAATTAACGTGTCTTAACAGCTTATGGTCATTGACACGGGTACAGTTTACATTATATTTATATACAAGCATTTGATATGAACAATTTTTTTGTGGAAAAGTTAAAACAATAAAGCTTTATTACTATGCACTGTTTATATTAGCTGAATTAAACTTGTTTCTTTTAAAAATTTGAGAATACTGTCAAAACTGTTTAGAACACCTAGAATGTCTTTTAGATTTCCTCTACAGTAGTGGCATACTGGAGGGTTTTCTGATGCCATAAGGTATCCATGCATGAGACCTGTATGCCCTATTCGTAGTCAGTGAATCACTCATTTTTCTTTCCTTTTTATGGAGGAGTTATAGGCGCGAGATAAGTTGGGTTGAACGCCATGCAGATTAGTTTTTGTTTTACTCCACAGGTCCATTCATGAGCTGAGGATTTTTTGTTTTATCAATATTTTAAGATCCGTATGGATTTGAACCTCTTCTGAAGGCTAAGTCGGAAGAACATGCTGCTTTAGCGGCTTGGTCTGCTTTTTCGTTTCCCAATATACCAACATGAGATGGAGTCCAGATCATTATGACTTTTATGTTAGCAGATGTTGTGCATCCATGGAGCAGTCTTGGGGATATAAATAGAAGTAGTATTGGAAAGGTTTATGGAATCTAATAAAGTAGATAATATTTGAGGTAATGTAAGAGACTGATTGGATGCGTTTGCTGGAGGAGGTTCTATGGGATTGGGCGGCAAATTTGATTTAGTTAATAACAGTGATTTATTGTGTGCCACTCTCCATTGTATTAAAATTTATTTTAAATAAAAAGAAAACAATATAACTCACTTAAACTTTATTTAAAATAAACCAAATTTTTAAGTTCTTCATTGGAGCACTGATTTCCTCAGCACATATTTACTAAACTCTAAGTACGCATCCTTTATGCATTTAAGTAGCGGCAAAATATGTTTCTTAGTTACTTTTTCATTGGTACTGCATCGCTCACCGATGTCTTTAGGTAATAACTCTGGATTAAATTTGTCACTCAAATGTTTCAGTTGATATTTATCGAAATTGTCATCATCAGTTAATAGTCCGATCTTTTTTGAGTAACAGAAATAGTAGTCTGTTAACTTTTCGTCAGCTACTTCGGAAGTTGGAAATTTTACTTCTTTAAGGCCAGATTCCTTTTTGCACTCCTGACGAAATGTTTCTCTTTTTTTACTTTGCTCGATTAATTCTTCTTTAGACTGAAAATATAAGGAAACATAATGAGACGTAATATTTTTAAGATCTACGAATCCTTTCCCAAGTCAGTTGGCCTATCATAAGCTAAGGTACTTTCACAATTATAGTGCCTAGACTTATACATAATTTTGCGCTAGCGGTAAATCAAACAAAAAATAACGGAGCTTAAGAAAGTGCTTTAGCTTTGATTTTACCAATTTTGATTATTACCATTTTTTCTAAAAAAGAAATGTACATGAATACATAAAGTTAAAGAAATAAAAGCATTAACAATTTAAATTTAACAAATATTTAATACACAGAGTGGCCCAAAAGTCTGGAAACGGCTAATTATCTCGTAAAATGCTAATCATAATTTGAGGTACACCTATTTTGGGATACGGAGATTCCATATTTAATATTTACAATGTTGCCATATTTGCCGTTTTCTTATATTATTAGTAACTTTGGTTTTTCAAATACATCACCCTGTATATTCATTCATTGTTGGAATCTCCTACTTAATACGACTTCATCCATATGTAACACTTATGATTTTATGTAATCTCGAAGGTCATAAATACATAAAACCGAAGTCTGGCAACGCCTAAATTGTTTCAATAAATTTTTTAATACTAATTTTCAAATACATTAAAACGTAACAATTGATAGTTTAGAACATTTTTTTAACATAGTAGTTACGTTATTAAGTGTTCAAAATGTGCTCAATTTGTGAGTTGACAGCACCCTAATCGATGGTAGAAGGCGTCTACCACATTTCTCCATGATTTTCTAGAAATTATTCGAGATTCATTGATACTTCGTTGCCTTAGCTCTGCAAGACTTGCTGGTTAAGTTTTGTAAACTGAACTTTTCAAGTATCCCTAATAAAAATAACCTATAGGATTGAAATCGGGTGAACGTCGAGGCCATTCAATTCTACCTTGTCTACCAATTTATCGTCCAGGAAATATCTCATCTAAATATCGCCGAACATTTACACCTATCAACTATTTACAACTATCTGACGTTAAATTTCTTTCGACAAAAAATGACCCAATTGAATAAGTAACTACTATATCTGACCATACATTTAATTTTTGTTGCCTTTGAGTATGGTTTTCACGCATTCAGTCTTCAGTGTGAATTTACGTCACACCAGTACCCTAAATTGTGTCGATTGACACGTCCACACAGTGTAAAAGTTGCTTTATCGGAAAAACATATTCTGTTAACGAAGTTTTAATAATTTTCAATTATATCCATCATTACCTCAGTAAACTCTAATCTACGACCAAAGTCATCTTCACTTAATTCTTGCAATAAGTTAATTTTGTATCATTTAAATTTATTTTTACGTAATAAACGTAAGACTGAAGAATGACCTACATCATGTACTTGTGCAACCCTGCCTGGGATGTATGTGGATCTTCAACAAAACTTTGCTTATATCTGAAGTTTTGTTGTCATTGATAACTCGTTTCGGTCAACCTGATCGGTATCTATCTTTAACTTCTCCAGATTCCTCAAATCGCTTTACAGTTCTTTGTACCGTCGTCTTATGAATAGGATAACGGCATTTTAGAGAAACAATTTAAATTGCAGAACTTTGTGAACCACAACTACTGTCAATTTTGCACTGTTTTATGTATTTAAGATCTTTCAGACTACATAAAATCAAGTGAACGTATGGTTGAACTCGTATTGAATAGCTAAACTCGTGTGAAATTCACACTGAATGCGTGAAAACCATACTCAAAGACCACAAAAATTAAATGTATGGTCAGTTATAGTAGGTACTTATTTAATTTGGCCATTTTTTATCGAAAGAAATTTAAACGTCAGATAGTTGGTTGCTATCTTTATAATATAAGTTATTTATCGTTTTGTAAGATGTGTCTTAGTTTCAAGGCATTTGATTAGCGTCAAATGATGCTAAATGATTTTAAGGTATTTAATGACATTCTGCAACATTTTTTGTTATTTCTATAGACAACAACCTTAAATGGTACCTTAATATTGATGTGTAAAAAACTAGCCTCAGCCTGCTATAGAATAAGATTTATTTTGAAGGAAATCAATTTAGAATCTTCCAAAACAACATACTTTTCTTTCTTTGAGTCTCATCTTCGATATGGTCTTATTTTTTGGAATTTTAGTACAGATGCTTGATGTTATATTTAAACTAAAAAAAGAGCAATATGGTATTTGTTTGAACTCCAAAAAGCTCTTTCTCCACGAGACATTCAACCTTGTGTTTATTTACCAATCTGTCCACTGAGTTAGTAAAGAAATCTATATTAAATTCTGTAAAAAAAACTATACAACCAGCACCCTTTACAATCCAAATCTGCAGCATTTTTCTCCAAGTTTCTTGGGGATTTCAAATGACAGACGCGTATCTATCTGAAAGACTATATTTTTGGGTGGAAGAGTTTCTTAACGAATAACTAAGAAATTTCAGATTAAACAATCTGAGATTTGCCGACGACACCGTTCTGATCGCAGAAACACTTGAAGAGCTACAGACATTGGTGAATAAGATAGCAGACTGCAGCAAAGAATATGGACTATCTTTGAACATAAAGAAAACTAAATTTATGGTAATATCGAAACCAACACAAAATGTCCAAAATTTATATTTACACAATGAAATTATCGATCGAGTTAGCAAATACAAATATTTAGGAACTTTTATAAATGAAGACAACGATAGCTCAGCAGAAATCAAAATTAGAATAGAAAAAGCCAGATCCATATTCACTAAAATGAAGAGAGTGTTCTGCGGAAGAGATTTGAGCCTTGAAATGAAACTTCGGCTGATGAGATATTACGTACTTTCTGTGCTGTTCTACGGAATGGAGTCATGGACGTTGAAAAAAATTGATATAAAAAAATTAGAGGCATTTGAACTGTGGATGTATCGCAGAATCCTGAGAATATCATGGACCGAGAGAGTCACAAATGTCGAGGTCTTGAGAAGAATGAATAAAGAAAAGGAAGTCATATTTACGATCAAAAAACGAAAACTGCAATACTTGGAACACATTAGAAGAGGCGAAATATATGAACTGCTTCGAATAATCATGCAAGGGAAAATAGCAGGAAAAAGGTCCATAGGAAGAAGACGAAACTCCTGGCTAAAGAATCGACGGGAATTGTATAGCTGTAGCAACAACGAATTGTTTCGGTCAGCAGTTTCGAAAATACGTATAGCCCTGATGATCGTCAACCTGCGGAACGAAGATGGCACTTGAAGAAGAAGAAGAAATTTCAGCACCTTTATATACAAATAACTAAACTATTTTTATCTATATTTGGGTATTATGCAGAACTTCAACTAAGTACTTCATAAGGTTTTATTATGCAATTTACAATTTATTTAAATTTTGCAATCGATTATTTATTTTATGATATTTTATTTTCTGATAGTGACGATTTATGCAAATTCAGTTAATTATAATTGTTATTGTTATTTTCTGATTTTTCCAAGTTTTATTCATAAAGTTGTACAATTTTCAGTGACAATAAAGCATATTTCCATTGTATTCTATTCTAAAATCATAACCTACTAACAACAACTTGTTGGTTACACATTTTTCCAAAATTGTTAAATAATTTATTTAAAAAATCATTAGACTTACATTTTTATCGAAGGACAGTACACCAAGCGAAGTAAATGTAATAAAAAGAATCTCTAATTTCATGGTAGAGTAGAATGTTGAACGATCTTCAAATAAATGTTTTCTGTATGTGCATATATTTCACATCAAATTCAACAAATGTGATAAGTGTGAATTTTAATCAATCTTTATTACCAATTGTTAACGAACTGATAATATTATCACAAAATATACATTAATTACATTAATGTTTGACAAAGTTGCATTCATTTTTATAATTATATTGGAGTAATATATTCTTAAACTGACTAAAAATGTTCCAATTCTTTCATTTTATGAGAATTTTTTTTTTAGATAAAACAAAGGTTACTATTTTAACTGGGCTGACAAATTGGAGTTTCTTTTCGAAATAAACTCTATAAAGTAGTTAAATAAAATTTTGTTATTTAATGACAAAAGGTACAAATGTTTTTTTATTAAGACATCAGTTTGTTGTATATATTTTGTACATTTAAAGAAAATGTGGTTTAAATCTGCTTCTTTTTGACAACCTTCACATAAATATGAATTAACAGTTTTAAGTTTTGTCAGATGAGCCGGATAACATGCGTCTCCTGATTTCATTCTGATAATAGATGTAATGTATCTACGTGGAACAGAGTAATTTTTAAACCAAAATTCACTCGGATGAATGCTTAGTGTGAGTAAGAGTGTTGACTATAATCATAATATTCTTGTTTCCACTGATTGTTTACAATATTCTTGATTGTTACAAATATATCTGGTATGCAGAGCTTATAATCTGTTTTCGCACCAGAATCAAGTATGGCTTTCTTAGCTAATATATCTATATACTCATTATGCTAAAGCCCTATGTGAGCTTTAATTCACAAAAATATAACTGTTCTTTGTTCCTGATATAATTCAAAAATATTTGTTTTGATTAGAAGGATGTAAATATTTGTGCTTATGCTAGAAAAGATATAGTCTCAATGGCTATAAGAACCGACAAAGAATCAGATGCATTTATTGCGGAGTTGTCATTGGAATTCTTAAAATACTTTATTGCTTCCCTAAATTGCTATGGCTCCAGCAGTAAAAATTGAAACATTATAATCTTTAGAGTAAACATTGTTTTCTATACTTTTTTAAGGAATATAAAAAAGCGCATCCAGTGCGAAAAGAAGACTTTGATGCGTTGTATAAATAATCGTTGATGCTGGCCAGTTTTTAAATTAAATTCCTTAAAATATTGTAGCTGATTGCAGTATTTACATGTTACCTTGGTTTAATTACAGTAATAGTTTGCAAAAAAGCATAAAATTCTTCAAAGTTTGAATTAGATATGAAGATATTGAAAGATATTCTCTTCTATATTTGAGTGGAAATTCTAGTGCTTCAACATATAACGAATTGGTTGTAGTTGATTTCATAGTACCTAGGTAAATACGTAACATTGTATTTTGAAACACATCTTTTTTTCCCAAGATATACTTATTTGCTGAACCATACTAAAAACATCCATAATCTATGATTGCTCTTATGTTCGATCGATAAAAAAGTAACGCAGTTTCTACATCGGTTCCCCAACAAGTTTTAGAAATTGCTTTAAGGAGATTTAATCCCTTATTACATCTATTTAACATGAAGTCAATGTGTAACTTTCAAGTTAATTTACGGCCAAGAATCATCCCTAAGTATTTAATGGAGAAACATAAATTATATTCTCGACTGTTCACTGTTAACTTCGTTAGCCCCGTGAAAATACATAATATACTAGATTTACTTGCTGCTATTTTGAACCCACTTTCTTTTAAACCAATTATTGGAGTAGTCCTCCATTTTTTCCAAAATTTGTATGCACTTATCGTATGTTTTGGAAGATGAATATATAAGAAAATCATAGCGTCTTGTATTATCTTAAAAACTGTTATTTACTATGAAGACATTGTGCAAATTAGATGTATATAGATTAAATAATAAAGGGCTCAAAACTGTCCCTTGTGGAAGTCCTAGGTTGTTATATCGAGAACCTATAAGTTTATTGTTATTTAATCTCGAAAAATTTTTTCTGCAAGTGTAAAAGTTGAGAATGGTTTTCACTAATGCAGCTGGTATATAAAAATTTCTAATCATCATTTCCTTAAGGATTTTGAGAGTTGCTTTTTTTAGTTTTACATACAGTTTTTATGTAGCACGTATATTTGTTATAATTTCATTTGTATTATTAAAACATTAAGACATTTTATTTTAGATCTTCACCTTCTCCTCTGTCCAATGTGTCTATCAAATAAGGTTTTTCTTATTGAATATTTTGCTCTCTGCATATTACATGGTTTATCCAACCCAATCGTCCTATTTTGATATGTTGGGCGAAATCTGTTTCCTGGTAAATTCTGTAAAGTTCTAAGTTGTATCTTGTTTTAACAGGTTGACTGCCAGCCTCTTTTTCATTGCATTGCCAATGAGTCATTTGAGTACTCAGTCCAGAAGATCAAATATTGAGCGCCATATATGGTACTCAGTGTAACTTACAAACCTGCATGTCGTGTACCTTAGCAGTCACTCGGCTTGTACATTTTATATAGAGAAATTAAAGTTTTGGCCTCAGAAAACCATGATAGCCTCCGTAGCTAGAAGGTATTATACTTTTTTATATAAAGGTTGTTTATCAAAGTGTAATAAAAACGAGATTTTAGCTTAAATATTTATTTAAATTAACTCTACAAGCTTTCTCTTCTTCTTCTTCATGCTACTAGGATTACTCCTGTTTGTCTGCCTCTTATTCTGTTTCAGTCGTTGTTGATTGTACATCATATTTCCACCTTTTTGGCGCCCTTTCAATGTGTCTTCTGCTATACAGCTTGTTGGTTTTACAAATGTTCGCTAATCTACCTGGTCCCATTTGATTTAACATGTTCGTTCCAGTTTTTTTCTTGTTTTTCTTTTTGGGGAGACACATAAAAATCGACATTAACTACTCTTTGGTAAATTGGCCTGAACTATAAATTTGGTATGAGTGTCACTAAAACATCAATGTGCTGCTCATCTAAAATTGCTCTTCATTGTTTTTAATGCGTGTAATATTTCTTTTTTTTTTTTTGTAATATATGGACCTATTTCTTCTGACGTAACTTCTATGTGCTTCAGATCTTCTCTTTCTTCATCGAAAAGTTCGTCGATATATTCTGACCATCTTTGTAATTTCTCGTCCGTCTGTGTTACAGTAGTTCCTTGTCTGTCCAGAAGTGTACCAATGGGATTTTGTTTTCTTAGTCGTGTCAGTTCTTTAACTTTCTTGTGTAGGTTAAACACATCATATTCATTTTGAAGGTCTTCGATCGCTTTGCCTTTCTCTTCAAAGTACTTTTCTTTTGCCTTTCTTGCGGTTTATCTCTGTATTTATTGTTATCTTTGCTGTTTTATCATATTAAGTATCTCGTCATTCATCCATTCTTCTTTTCTCCTTGCGGAAGTCTTTAGTATTTCTTTACAGGGTTCCAGTAGGCAATTTTTTAATCGACGCCAGTACTCGTCAATATCATTGGTGTTTGTGTTCAATTTTGCTGCAGTTCATATGCAATTTATTTTGATGGCATTTTTTTATGTTAGGTTCTTTAAGTTTTCTTGTGTATATAGTAAGGATTCTTTGATGTCTTTTAATATTCTTAAGGGTGAGTGTAATCTTGGCGATAAGTGGATTGTAATCTGAGGCCACGTCTGATACAGGATATGCTTTCACGGCTTTAACAGCATTAAGGTATGCATCTAAACATTCCCTATATCAGGAGCTTGGAGGAGTAAGGGCGAATTCGAAAAATGGTCATTTTAAAAATAGTCTCATTTTGCTCACATACTATTAAATAATACATCTGTATCTTTATAACACCATGTTTCGCCCTTCATACTCCGAAAATTCTGTAGGAAATAAGAAAGCAACCAATTCATGTCAGAAACTGAACTGCATAATCGTCTAGAAGAGGAAAGGCGAACCCACAAGCTATCGTTGCGTTTCCGTTCAAGGTTCGCCCCTACTCCTCTATAACCCTGTTGGTATTTTTGTAGCTTTAGTTTGTGAGACATTCTTGCGTTGTATGCAGATGCATGCGTTTTTCTTAAGTTTTTCTGTACGATCGTATGCTTGTAGTTTTTATTATTCGTATTTTAAGGAAAAACCGAGGTTACATTAGCGTTAAAGTTGTACTGTTTTTTCCGATTTATTTTCAAAATGAACGCCGAGAACACGACAAGGCGGAAGCAAAAGAACACGGAACAGTGGGTTGTTAACGTGTGTAAAACCAAACGAAACTGTGGTGAAGCGTACATTTCGAGAAATACAAACAGACCTGTATCTGCGCGCACAATCGGACCACCATGTAAGTGTCGTAAAACGTGTTTTGAAAAGTTGGGCATGAACAATATCAATATGATTTTCAATAATTTTTGGCAACTGGGCAACTATGATAATCAAAACCAATACCTTTCAAAAGTGTTAAGTTTCAGTGATTGTAAAAAGTCTTTAATTACTGACAGAGCTAGTAGAAAGCTTCGGACCATAGAGTATAGTGTTTCAATAAATGGAGAAAGAAAATGTGTTTGTCGTCAGGCTTTTATTAGCATCCATGGCATAAGTGAAAAAAGAGTTCGCGTTGTTTTAGACAAGCAGACCACCACAGGAACTGTGCTGAGTGACAACAGGGGGAAGCTATGCCCAGGAAATAAAATGGTTGGATATAGAAAGCAGTTGATCAGAGATCACATTGATTCTCTTGTTACTGTTTCCAGTCACTATAACAGAGCCAAAAGTCCATTTCGAAAATATATGCCACCGGGTTCATCAATTACTGGGGCATATGGAGCTTATATGGAATGGCTAAGAAACATATATCCTGAAGAACAGCCTGTGATAGAGTCCTACTACCGAAATATTTTTGTCAATGAATTTAATATAGGTGTTCAGCCTCCTTCAGTTGATGAATGTAATACCTGTTCTAAGACTAAAATTGAAATTAATGGGTTAAAGACTAGTAACCCGAATTCTCCCCAAATAACTGAATTGGATACAAAACTGAAGGTTCATTTAGCAAAGCAGAAAGCTGCTCAGTTTATGATGAAAAGCTACGAAAGCAACCAGGATACAAATATTGAAGTTATATGTGTTGATTTACAACAAGCATTACCCACACCTAAACTTACCTGCAACGTACAATATTACAAAAGAAAAATGTGGACTTATAATTTAGGAATCCATAACGTTAAAACTGGAACAGCTGTAATGTATGTATGGGATGAAACCATCGCTAAACGCGGATCGTGTGAAATAGCCAGTTTTCTCAGTCACTACTTGGAGAACTTTGTTAACAAGCAAGTGCGACAAGTTATAATTTTTAGTGATAACTGTGCCGGGCAAAATAAGAACATAAACGTTGTTTTGTCTAACCTCCGCCACATTCATGCAAACCGCTTTGATCTTATTAAGCACGTTTTTTTAATGTCTGGGCATTCGATGATGGGTTGTGATCGAGATTTCGGTTCAATTAAATTAAAGATCAAGGACTGTGAAGTATTTTCAAAAGAACACTATATCCATTTCATTAAACACACGAAAAAAAAGAACAAATTCCAAGTTGTTAATGTCACGAGGGAAATGGTTAAGGATTTCAGCGTTCTTCAAAAAGCAGCAACTAAATCTCAAATATTGGGAGCTAACTTCAAGGATGGTAGAATATTCGAATTTTCAAAAGATTTTAAGATGGGTTTTAAAATTCAAATAGCATACAACACGGATATTTCTACAAATGTCATACTCCAAAAGGGACGAAAGAGACTTCACGATGTAACAAATTTTAACTTAGACAGTATAGAACTTCCTCTCAAATACCAGGGTGCCATCAAGCTTACAGAAGAAAAGAAAAAAGACTTACAAGATCTTCTTGATTATGTACCCATGCCTCACAAACATACTTTACAAGAAGCTATTAGTGGAGGAATTGATATAACTGAAGTCGAAGAAACTGTAGACGATGAAAATCAAATTGAGTTTAATTGAAGCTGTATTTTTGAATTTTGCAACTTATTCCACTACCACTAGCTGTCACAGAAACCTGTTAAAAAAACTAGGTATGTTTATATTTGTAGAATAAAAAATATTAAACCTCTTTTCATTTTATTTTTTAAAATCCTTGCAAATCTTGCAAAATCCTCTTTTATTTTCTATTAATAAAATAAAACTTGTTTGGTTCTACTAGAGTATGCATTCAACCTCAATGGTTTAATCTACCTGAAGGATTTGGATTTTGAAAACCCTGGGAAGGGATTACGGTGTAATTTGCATAATCATAAAGTTTATAAAATGTTTATTAGTACTTAGCAATAAATATTTTGCCTACAAAGGATGCCTTTCATTATTGTGTTCAAACCCTTCTCAGAAAAGATTATGGTGATAGGCCGACATATCAATAGGTAGAACGTGTTTACACTCCCAAATACCATCTTAACAGGTAAATAAAATCATAGGTAAAACGAATTATTATTTCAGTTTTACAGGTCAATACTTTGTCATATCAATTTACTATTTTGGTTGAGAATAAGCCGTAAAATTAAAATAATAATTCTTAATTTTTACGTGTTACGCGTTTTTTCACTGTAAAGATACACCGCATAATATAGTAGAAACGCGACAGTAGACCACATTACTATCGTAGCTCCACTTATTCGCCCTTACTATTTTAATATGTTCGTAAACTTTAACTCATTTTTCCCGAAACCTGGTTTTTGCGGTTCGCCCTTACTCTTCCAGGCTCCTGATATGTATTTGGCACCTAGGACTTTTCTATTGGTCCTTTGCGGCACGCGGCCATGTTTCAACCAATAGGCGACGAGGTGCCAAACACGTATATGGAATGTTACTTTGATGCTAAATTCATATACGGAATGTTAAATCTTTTCAAGATGTCTTTTCAACAAAATCAGAAAAGGAGAGTGATTTTAAAATATTTGTTAACGTATTATTAAAAAGAGTAAATCAGTGCAATAGGAAATAATACAAAATATATTATTTAAATCAATAATAAAAAATTTCAAATGTTTAAAATGTTATATTTATACGAAATTCAATGTCCTTTGCAATTTTTAGTTGCATTTGTTTGATTTGCTGCGATGTTAGACAAAAGATTGTAACGTCTTTTGAACCTTTTCTTTTCTTAGATTGAACTTTAGGTGGTTGTCCAAATGGTAATCTATTTGACCTTGTAGTAACTTTCAACTGGTTGAAGATGGTTGTACTCATATCTTGTCCTTGTATTCAAATCGCTTTGCCGAGGAACTTTCTGCTACGTTTAAAAAACTTTGTAAAAATCTGCAAAAAAGATTTTTGTTGTTCAGCTGTTTCATTTTTTTTTAAGAATATCTTCTCTATCATTATTTTCATCACTGTTATCAATGCTAGTATTAATATATATATATATATATATATATATATATATATATATATATATATATATATATATATATATATATATATATATATAATGTTTCTGTAACACATTAACTAGACCCTGAAAGCCCTCTATAAAATGAATAATATTGAACTCTTTCACCAAAAGCTAATTTATCTACTTCGTATTAATATTCAGGATTAGCAACTGAAAGGCAGAACATCAGTATTAATGATCACAACTTCGAAGGAGTTTAAATACCTCACAGCGAACATCACAGTTGACAACCACATAAAAAAAAGAGGTCTCAGCAAGGATAGTTGCGGGAAATAGAGCATTATACTCCCTTTTAACATTATTAAGATCGAGGCTGCTATACTTTCGATTATTCCCCAATTAACACATATGGTAGTGAAACATGAACTTTCAACCAGCAGGAAATCAATAAGCTTCTAGTATTTGAAGGAAAGGTTCCAGAGAATAATATTTGGCCCTCAAAGAGATGAATTCACAGGGAATTGGAGAAGACGCCACAATGCTGAATTGGTGACTCTGTATGGAACTAAAAACATAGTTAGACATATTAAGGCAAACCGAATAAAATGGGCAGGTCCCGTGATACGATCAAAAGATGACAGAGTGTTAAAGACAGTGTTTTTTAAAAGACTAGATGGTAGAAGATCAGTAGGCCGACCGGGAAAAAGATGGAAGGATGATATTAAAGCCGATTTATCTAGAATTGGGGTACAACAATGGGAAATAGAAGGGCAAGTAGATTAGCAAATGGAACGTTGCAAGGAGATATAAACTTTTAAAAAAGTGTGCAGTCTCAGCTTAATGCTTGCAAAATGCACCTGATCTTCCAATTTCGCAGCTGAATAATTATTTTGCTCACTAGGAACTTTGTATAAATTTTGAGATAATTTAATTATATCTTTCTGTTGATGAAAATAATGTTAGAGAAGATGATTTTAAACAAAAATGAAATAGCTAAACAATAAGAATTTTCTTTTGCAGATTTTATTAATACGCTACAAGATAAAAATGTTACATTTGGAACTGATTTATTAACGTTAAAGTTGTTGCACGAAAGATTATGCCATATTAAAACCAAAACGGCTTGGGAAAGTTTTTTAAACATGGCAGAAAGTTTCTCGACAACTGGTACAGGTTCCTAACTGATACAGGTACCAAACAAGCAAACTATATGGATCCACAAATGGAGTTTTACGAAAAGGTGAAGTGTTTCTGCTACGTTGCATTGTTCTTGAATCAATTTCTCTTTAGCTCTTCTTATTAACGTCTTAATTATTTGGGTACTAATTAATTGGGTATTGGGTAATAATTAATACAAACTATTTGTACAAATTAAATTGAAATTAAATATGTAGGTATAACAAAACTTTATTAAAATCAACATAAATTCTTTTCTATTCTACATTTTCCCCATAACTCTGAAACTGGATAATAATAATTGCGTTCAGAAAAGTTTTTATTACCAAATATGAGATAATGAATTTTCATTAGTTGAGAAAATTAATCGTTTCATGAAGTGAAATTATAACTTCAACTGTTTTTAACTAAATTTGTAATATGAAAGTTATTAATGAATTTAATAACATTTTTATTTAAGTTTCAAATGAACAAGGAACATTTTCAATTTTAACGAGTAATGCTAAGTAAATTGTAAATAAGTTCAGAACTACATCCAGTATCAAAATTTGGTTTAGTAAACTAACAAAAAATCTCTAATTTCTTTTCTCCATAATGCTTCAATTACGCAATTATAAATTCCAGTTTTATCTAATGCCCTATTTTGCCAACTATACATTTTGCCATATTGTAAACAGAGTCTTTCGTAACTTCCTCGTCCGATATGCAGTTTGCCATAATATCATCGGCTAATTCAGGAAACAATGATTCAAAATGCGATTTGGCTAGATCCATATCAATTTTGTTATCATCTCCTATCAAACCAGTTTTTTGTACAAAGCACAATGTGTGTTCCTTGATGGCATCAGTTGGTGTACCTTCTTTTATTGCTTTTTTGACTTCGTCACTATCGACACCTGTCTGTTCTTTACATTCCTCGTGAAACTTCTTCATCTTTTCTATTTCTTCTTCTGGCATGTTGGATGCCTAAAATAATAAAAATATTTTAATTAACTAATTCATTATGATTTTCTAGATTTATATGAGAAGATTCAAGGAAGAAGATTTGTTGGCCGAAGGCAGAACTCATGGTTAAAAAATCTACGTGATTGGTATCAATGCAGATCGATTGATTTGTTTAGAGCAACAAGTTCTAAAATAAAAATAGCCATTATGATTGCCAACCTCCGTAGGGACACGGCACTCTAAGAAGAAGAAGATTTATATGAGTTTCAAAACCAAAAGAGCCTCGAAATTGAATACAGAATTACAGTATTTTCTTCTTCGCGTGCCATATTAGAACTATCCGACGTTGGCGATCACCATTGCAAAGGCTTCTCGATCTTCTGCAATATGGAATAATTGTCCTGCATTTGGTATCTGAGTCCATTCACGAATGTTGTTTAACCAAGAAACTTGTTTTCTTTCTACACCTCTACGGCCCTCTATTTTGCCTTTAAGGATCAGTTGTACAATTTTATATCGATTTCCCCTTACTATATGTCCCAGATAAGACATTTTTCGATGTTTAACAGTCTTTAGCAGTTTTCTGTCTTTGTTGACGCTCCTTAGTACTTCTTCATTAGTTTTTCTTGCTGTCCAAAGTATCTTCAGCATTCGTCTATGAATAAACATTTCCAATGCTTCAATTTTGTTGATGATCGATACTTTTAGCGTCCACACTTCTGCACTATATAAAAGTACAGACCAAACATAACACTTAACCATTCTTTGCCTTAGTTCTAAACTGAGATGGTTATTGCAAAGAAGCGACTTCATTTTCATGAAAGTAGTTTTAGTCATTGCTATTCTACGTTTTACTTATATGTCTGGATCTAGTTGGTTCGTTATCACAGTTCTCAAATATGTCATTTTCTGAACTTTCTCAACTTATACTCCGTTCAATTGAAGCTTTGCATCGGGATGTGGGTCACGACTAAACACTAAAAATTCGGTTTTGTTTGAGTTTATTTTAATGCCCATTTCCTCTCCTACCTCGTGAATACAATCAAGCAGAATTTGAAGACCTTCAATATTATCTGATAGAATTACTGTATCGTCTGCATATCTAATCACATTAAGTAGTTCCTCATTGATTTTTATTCCATATGGTTGTCTCCCAAGTGCCTTTTTAAATAACTGGTCCGAATAAACATTGAACAATGTTGGCGACAAAATGCAACCTTGTCTGACTCCTCGTTATATGGGGATTTCATCGGTGTAGTTATCTCCAATTTTTACGATAGCAGTTTGATTTCAGTACAAACTTTTAATGACACGAATATCCTTGACATCTATTCTAATATTTTTCAGTATTTGCATTAATTTTACATGCTGTACTTTATCAAATGCCTTTTCAAAGTCCACGAAACATGCAAATACATTTTTTCTTTGGTCACGGCATTTTTGTAATAGGATGTTAAGCGCAAAAAGTTCCTCCCTGGTTCCCTAATTCTGTTGTGAAGTATTCTGAGGAAAATTTTAAGAGTGTGGCTCATTAGGCTAATTAATCGATATTCTGAGCATTTTCTCACATTGTGTTTTTTAGGTATTGCGATAAAGATGGATTTGAGCCAATCTGCAGGAATCACTCCGGGGTTATATATTGAATTATGTTATCATTCTCTATTAGTTTCAGCAACTCAGTTGGTGTATCATGTGGAGCACAAGCTTTTCTAATTTTAGCATTATTTATAGCATGTTCTACTTTGCATTTCATAATTTCTGGGCTGTCAGTACAGTTTTGGTAGAATTCGGCAATATTATTCCTGTCATCTTCAAACAACTATGATATATACAGCTGCCAATCTTTTCTTATTTCGTGCTCATTTACAATAATTTTGTTATTAATGTCAACAAGTACAGAGGAGAACTAGTTTTTTAAATATATTACTCATTTCTTTCAGTTTTTTGTGCACATTAAATAAGTCGTGTTTAGATATCCTCCATTTCGTCGCACCTTTCTCTCATCCATTTTTCTTTGGCTAATTTGATCTAGTGGCTAGACCACCTCGTAGAGGCCCACTTACGAGCAAGCCTAAACTTAATAATCAACTAAGTGATCTTGAAACGCGAGGAATCATAGCAAAGGTTGATAGTCCTACTCCGTGGCTTAGTAACTTGGTAATTGTTGAGAAAACTGATAAATCATTACGTATCTGCCTAGATCCTCGTGACCTGAACAAGGCATTGGAAAGGGAATTTATTAAAATACCTACTGTTGATGAGATTCGTTCAATGTTACAGGGTAAGTCATTTTTTACAGTTATAGATTTTAAGGAGGGTTTTTGCCAAGTAGAACTGGATGAGCAATCCAGTAATTTATGTGCTTTTGGCACTATATTTGGCACATATGCATTGTGTCGCCTGCCATTTGGACTTAACATAGCACTTGAATACTTCCAGACTTTAAATTCTGAAAATTTTGCAGATATTTCCAGGTTCTATAGTCTAATTCGATGATCTATTAATTTGTGGGAGTCAATAGAAGAGCATAATAATACACTAAAGAAGGTGTTAGATAGAGCTAGAGAACTAATGTAAAATTTAACCCAAACAAAATATCTGCAAGAATCAACAATATCCAAAATCCCATGTTCTAACAATTATCCCTCTAACAAGTAGTGACAACGAGTCACGAGTCCCCATTCATTATGCCTAGAGCCCCGTGACCGTAATTATAACCTACTGATATGACAAAAATAATTTAAAGTCAACTTTTAAGAAGTTAGATTAACAGGTTAACTGCCATGAGTACCACATGTTGTACTCAGTTAACTTGCCATTTATGCTACAACTCTTCTATAGAATATTGACCCATGAGGCCACGACGATTTTTATTTATTATTTTAATTTAGACTTTTGTAAGAGTCTATTGGGGATTAATTAATATCTTTTTAAGTATTTCAAATCATTTTGAACCTGAGTACCTATGTTGGTGGTCATGGTCGCCACCTCTGGCACTCAAAATAAAATACCATATTCTAATATTTATTGACCTGCAGATTTCCGTAAACTAAAATTAAGAATATTAGGGGTTGCTAACGATAGATGCTATCTTAACTGTTTAGTGTAGTAAAACGACAGAGAAAGCTACTATGTCCCTGGGCAGATGTAGAAACAATGTACGGTAGGAATTGGAGACTTAACCCCAAATGACTGTATGGTTATAAATAAGGGTTACTAGACCAATGATTACTTATGGCTCGGTGAGTCGGTGGACAAAGACGCAACAAGTAGGAGCAATAAGGCTGCTAGAAAATACACAAAGCTAGCATGCCTGTGTATTAAGGGGGCCTTACAAACAACTTCTATAGCAGCGTTGGAAGTTCTGCTAGTCTATCACCACAAGTGGAAGTTCTGCTAGTCTATCCTATCGCCGTTGAATATTTAATATGTACTCAGAGAAAATTTTTAACGAGGCTCTTTACGGAATAGACGAAGGCATCCTTCTAAATGGTGAAAGAGTAAACAATGTTAGATATGCCGACGACACCATGGTGATAGCAGATAGTTTAGAGGGACTTCAGAGGCTAATGGATAGAATAAACGAGTAAAATCAACAGTACGGACTAAACATCAATACCACAAAACGAAACAAATGATTATCAGCAAGGAGAATATAAACGGGGCTCATCTATACATTAATGGGACGCAGATAGAGCGAGTAAAATAGTATTGCTACCTGGGAACTATTATAAACGAACAGTGGAGCAATATACAGGAAATAAAGTGCCGCATAGGAAAGGCAAGAACGGTCTTTAACAAAATAAGCGCCATCTTCAAAAGTCACAACATATTCCTAGATACAAAAATATGGACGCTTACAGATACCACTATTAAAAAACTTAAAGCATTTGAGATGTAGCTTTATAGAAGAATGCTGAGAATATCATGGACAGCAAGGATCACGAACAAGGAAGTTCTAGGAAAAATGAAGAAGGAACCAGAGATTGTGTTTACGATCAAACGCATAAAATTGTAATATCTGGGACACGTTATGAGAAATCAGCACCGTTACTCCCTGCTGCAGTCTATATTGCAAGGTAAAGTTAAAGGTAAGCGAGGACCCGGTAGAAGGAGAATATCATGGCTGTGGAATTTAAGAACATGGTTTAAGAAAACCTCAAGGGAGCTGTTTCGAGCCGCAGCGAGCAAGGTTATGATTGCCAATATGATTTCCAACATCCGAAACGGATAGGAACCAGAAAAAGAAGACCACCACAAGAAAGACTGGAATGAAGGTATACCCATACAAGGCACTCAATTCTGTAGAGGTCAATTCTAAGCTAGTATGGGATAGTGTGTGTGTTCTACTTAAACTAGGAGACCGTAACAAGGTTACTGTAGCCTAGGTACCGGGGCACAAGGGGTATAATGAAATGACCAAACAAGGCTCATCAATGTCATTCATCGGACCGGAACCCTTTTGCGGCGTTGCAAAAAAAGCAACAAGAATGGCTACAAAGAAGTGGATAGCTCACAAATCTCTGGAATGATGGAAGAAGACAATTCATTACTGAACATTCGCCAAAATTTACGGCAGACCTAATAAGTAAAGACAGAAAAACAGTCAAAGCTATATTAGGGCTTCTAATAGGGCACTGTAAGCTGAATAAGCACTTGAAGCTGATGGGATTATCAGATGATGACCAGTGCAGATTCTGTCACCTCGAGGAAGAAACAGCAGAGCACATTTTATGGCAGTGTGACAGTCTGGCAATATGCGGTCCTTTGCATTAGAAGAAAAAAATCCAGCGGCCAATAGCTACATGGAAGGTACATTTTCGAAGCTACTAGACTACATAAAAAAAACAGGTTAGAGAATGTTTTCTAGGATTGAGGACCACAATAGATTTAAAAAGATCGTAGTTGAATAGGCCAAAAGGCCACCTCTTTAAATCTATCTATCTAGGATGGAGTGAAAATTGGCGCGAAAAACTGGTAACGGTTGTCAATATAGAGATCTGAATTGCCAAGATTTGATACAGTAAAGAATTTACTTTAATACACTCATGATAGTGATAAAGACCATTCTAATAAAAAGCAGTAACAGTTAATCATTTTAGATTATTAAACTAATTATGGAAAATGTCCAAATAAAAATGTGTTGAAAAATAAATTAAATATGTTTCATATTAAAACAAAACTAATAAATTAAACACAATTTATTTTAACAGATATTATAAACCACCTTATGCACCACTTATTATTGCGGTTTCTTAGAACCCTTAGTAGTCTCCATAATACAACTAATTATCTTTAGAACTTCTGTTTTGGTCACCTCCTCATCATTAATACAGTTATTGAGAATATCGTCAACTACTTGTGGATCTCTCTTCCCAAAACGTTCTTTTATTATATCTTTGTTGACCCTGTTATCTTCAGTTAACAATCCGGTCTTTTTTGCCACACATAAGACATAGTCTCCTATTTGATCGCTACCTACGCCTTCTTGTCTTGCTTTTTCTAAGTCTTCATCTTTCACACCAGTTTGCGTTTTGCATTGCTGATGGACCATTTCTAGACCGTCGAGTTCCCGTTTTAAATCATTGTCTTCAGGCTGAAAATATAAGACAAAATAATGAAAAATTGATACGTTTAAGAGTGATACCATGCAATATATGGGTTGAAGTACAATTTGTAGTAAATGAGAATGATGAAGACGAGCTAAATGGTTTTGTGCAATATTAAAATTACATTTATATTTTCTACTTATTTAAAACTAATTTTTAAGTATTTTTTATCAATTCCATTAGAAGAAATAATTTACCATTTTTAATGAAATGTTACCTTTAGATTTGTGTTATAATAGGATTTATGTGTTTCTTTGATTTATACTTCTGTACTCTCTCTTGTGTAAGTCTCTTGAACGATGATCAGAGTGCCACAATCCCCAGACAATGGCTGCAATCGACCTTTGTGGCAATACCCGAAAAGTCAATTACAATATCCTATTCAGATCACAGAACAATAGCTTTAATGAGTCATACACTTACAATATTTTTGAAAATAATATACAGCAGAATTGTTAAAATTCTTGACTTTGAAATTAGTGACACACAATTTGGCTTTAAAAATAATACGGCCACAAGAGATGCTTTGTTTGGCTTGAATGTATTGGCCAAGAGATGCATAGATATAAATCAGGACATGTATTAATGTTTTGTAGATTTTGAAAAGGCATTTGATAAGGTTCAACATAAAAAGCTTGTAGATATATTCAAAAATAAATATACTAACAGTCGTCATATGAAAATTATATCTAATCTATATTGGAATCAAACTGCCAAAGTAAGAGTTGACAACCAGAACATCCGAGATATTAAAATACACAAGGGTAATAAGCAAAAGGAAAGTCAGAAAAAAAGAAATGCTGGAGAAGAGTACTATACAAAGAAAAATAATAAAAAAGTTCCTGCCAAGCAGCCTCCTGAATATAAGGTTAGTCGAATATTGTTTTATTTTTGGGCAGTAGTTATTCTGAACTTTTTTTGTTTTTGATATTTTGCAAATGCAACTTTAAGTGTAAAGAGATACAGTATGAACAAAAATTGAGGCTTTTTCACGAATTTTATGGTTTAATTGATAATGTACGGCAAAATACGTATGCTATGAATTTTATCCGTGAGTGTGCTATCAAGAGGAGAAGGCATGGAAATTATGAGAGGCCAGAAGAGAGCAAGAGACAGGTTAACTTTTCTTTACATTGTCCAACGGAGAAGGCAACATATTACAGGTGTGTAGGAAGACATTTTGCGCGGTGTTTGGAATAACTTCAAGACAAATTAAAACATTAACTAAGTTGAAAAAAAAAGAGATTCAGTGTTAAGAAGAGTATAAACTCATTAGGTTCATGCCGGAAGATAAAGCATTGGTTATCGAGCATATAAACAAATTTCTCAGAGACGTGGAACATTACAACCATTTAAAAAGCGAGAAACAGTATCTGAGCTCCGATCTCAATATAAATAGACTTTACTTGGCATTTAAGGAAGCTCATCCTGATTTAGCAGTGAGCCATCGTTTTTACTTTCAAATTTTTATAAAGAATTTTCCTAATGTAAGCTTTTGTAAGCCTAGAACAGATACCTGTGCTACCTGTGATTTACTGCACATGCAAACAAAGGATCCCACACAGAAGGATGCTCAATTTATGTTAGAATTTCACCACCGAAAAGCTGAAGCAGCTGTAGAAGCAATGAGAGAAGACCATCAGAATTGTCAGCCATTTACGAGTGACACCATGACAGTTTCTATGAATCTACAGCAGTTCTGATCATTTGCAACTTTAACTTATAGTCAAATGTATTATATGCGACATCTTTCCAACTACAACCTTTATACGGACACACAAAAGAAAAGTAACAATTTGGAGCAACAACTGTGTCGGACAAAATAAAAATAAAATGTTACTGTTTTTATGGATTTATTTAGTTTTCCTAGGGGTATTTCGATTAGATAAATCACAAGTATCTAGTATCGAGTCATTCATTTATGGGTTGCGAAAAGCATTTCGCCCAAATTGAAAAGCGAAAAATGCAATAGAAGTATGAGGTACCTCTATGGATTTGGTAAGAATGATGACAACAGCTGTAAAAAACACGATTTCTTGTTACATTAATGAACCGTTAGGACTTCTTCGATTTTAAAGTTGCTTCTGAAAGTTCAATTAGTACATTGGAGCTTCAAATTTCAAAAGCTCAATGGATCAACATTACTTGACAAAATCCGGATTAGATAAAATACGAGAACCTCTGAATGAATTGGAAACTCGGAAATCAACAAAGGTTCTAAAGAGAAATGTTACAATTAAAACTATCGCAGAAATGACTCTTCCTAACTTGACCTACCAGAGTAGAATTTCTGAAGAAAAAAAAACAAAACTTGTTGGCAATAGTTCCCTAATTAAAGAAAGAAAATAGAAAATTTTATGAAGACCTATTTAATCAAAATACTCCTTAGAACCTATATGTTTATATGTTTATGATGGCACTTAGCACATTCTAAGATTTTATAGCTGTTTAATTTTTTTACAATTATTTTACAAAAAGTTCGTAAATTTTATTTATTGCACAAAAGCATAATTCACTTGAATAAACCTATGTTTAATTTTGAGAAAGTTATTTCTAATGCATTCATTATGGAAGAAAAAAATCGATTACTTCGAAATCATGATTTTGGCACTTACTTAGAATAGAATAGATAAATAGAAATATGCTTTATTGTCACTGAAAATTATTAAATAATTTTATGGACAAAGCTAAAAAAATCAGTCAAATAGTACAAAAAGTATAAAACAAAACAAATATATAAAATAACAGGAACAATACAATTTTTAAATTAGTATAATTATTGTATACCTAATTTACATAATTTGTACAGACAACAACAAATGAAACAGCCACTGCTTGAGACACCCAAATGTAATTATAAACAATACTAATTTTGTTTCTTTGTTATACACTAAGAAACTCGTCAACTGAATAATGTGGTCTTCCAGACAGATAGATTTTTGTCATCTTAAGAAACTTAATGAAAGATGTTGCGGATTTAATTTCTCTTGGAAGGTGATTATATAGTTTTTTTGCACTATATAGAATGGAATTCTTTACTAGCTGAGTGGACGGGATCGATAAATAAACGTTAAAATCCGAATTTCTAATGGAGTAGCCATGATCAGATCTATCGGGAAAATGTTTTAGATGCTTGCGAATCAAACAAACCGTTTCCAAATAAATAAAGAGGGAAGCGTCAAAATTCCGTGATTTTTGAAGTAGGTCTTGCAATGAGTTGTTTGTTTGAGACCAAATAGATAACGAATTGCTCTTTTTTGCAACTTAAAAATAGTCTCAAAATCCTTAAATCCTTAAAACCCATATCGAAGATGGGACTAGAACAATGAGAAATATGCCATTTGGACAGAAGATAAATTTAGTTCCTTCGAAACAGATCTTATTGCAAAGCAAGCTGAGCCTAGTTTCTTCCTTAAGGAGTTAGTATGCAAGGACCATTTAAGATCACTGTCGATAAGAATACCTAGAAATTTTACGGAATTAACGATACTGATTTGGCTCTCATTCAAAGCAAGTTTTGAATGACTCCTTTATAAGATAATGCTACTGTCTTATACACGTTAAAGTTAAGTAAGTTGGAGTCTGACCAAGCCTGGATTATATAGCATATATAGATTATATGGCCGCAAATCAGCGGTTATAATTGAATGAAGCGTTTGAAATATCAGAGCTGCTCCAAGTAATACTGGTATCATCAGCAAATAGAAAAATTTTCCCTTTAATTTTCAAGTAAGTGATGTCATTAATAAAAAGTAAAAAAAAATGGGACCTAATATTGAAACTTGCGGTACTCCACACTTAATATCTTTATAACTAGAGTCGGTGTCTTTTATTCTAACCAATTGTTTCCTACCTACCAAGTCAGTTTTGAACCAATTTAAAGACACATCCCGAATTCCATAGAAAGTTAATTTTTTAATAGAATGTCGTGATTTACGCAATCAAAGGCTTTAGAATAATCGCAGAAAACGGTGGCGGAGGAGAGGTTACTATTTAGTGATAAATATACCTCATGTAACACAGAAAACATGACATCACTAGTACATTTATTAGACAGAAAGCTGAACTGATTTTGCGATAAAATATTATGTTTAAGGAGAAAGGGCATAAGTCGAACTTTTATAAGCCTTTCAATAATTTTTTGTAGTGCTGGTAACAAGGCAATAGGTCTATAGTTGCAGGCATCAGATTTTTCTCCACCTTTATGAAGAGGAATAACGATGGCAGTCTTTAGGCAGTTAGGAAATGTACCTTTTTCAAGGGAATCATTTACTAGCGAGACTTAATTTGGCACTTATTTATTTCAAGTCTTCAATGGCACCCATTTTGGAGTCATTTTCAAGTAAGGTGTTAAATACTATTCTACAAACTATTCTAATATTGCTCTATAAACTTTTGCTAGTTCTACTACCACTATAAAGCTTTATTACTTACATTACAATAAATAGAGGATCACTTTTGAATCACTTAAGTTTACACTATTGTCTTTTAAAAGTTACAGAAAAAAATTAGTATTAAACACATTTTAAAGAATTTTTTTGTATAAATATAAATATATAAATATATGTATAAATATATTTTATATAAAATATATTTAATTTAACATTTGAAGTTTATGATTAATTTATGCTGAAATATCGAAAAAGAACATGAAACAAAGAATATAAATAAAAATGGAAATCAACCCTCTAAATACATACTAACGCCGATAAAAAAAGAAAGAAATTTATTTTATTTTCAGTTATCCAACTACCGAGAAATCTGAACTTGGGGACCTTTTGGATGTTCTTATTGTCACCCACAGCTACCTTTACCTTTATGAAGCAAAAAACCTGGTTGTATAACAAAATAAAGATGGTTATTCCAGAAATGCAATATTTATTTGTCCCTTCAAAAAGAAAGAAATTGCTTTCTTATGTTTGATATAAGTTAGTTTCTCATTTTGAAAATTTATAACATCCCAAAGTCCAGTATAAATAGTGGCCTAATTGTTTTATTGAGTTTTGTCGTTAGCACACGTTCCTCTTTGAATAAAACAGCTAAAACAGCTGCCTTAGCTGAACTTACGGTGTATAAAAGACGGTATAAAAAAATATCGTATCATTCAAAATACGGAACAACTGTGCAAAGAAAATGACAGCGTTATTGGACTTTGGTTCGATTATAAGCAAAACATTTGATTAGCGTCCACTGAGGTTCA